TAATAAATTGGTCATTTTCAATCTACGACTGTTTGTGGGACATTGCTGTGCGCAATTGGCTGCCGCGTTCGCCCACAATTATACAGTCAATTCACTTTGCAGTGTGTTCTGTGAAGCGCTTTGGGACGTCCTCCCGACGTGAAAAGCGCTATATCAAATGCAAGGATTATTATTATTATTATTGTTGTTGTTGTGTGGTGCCCGCTGAAGAAACGGCACAGGATTTGGTGAAGATGTTTTTCTTCCCCCGTGAAGAGCTCGGCCCTCTGTAACCAACCGTCTAACCACTCCGTACGTTCTCTGTGTTTGAGTTGGTGGTTGAGAATTACAACAAAAAAAATAAGCGTGCGTGAGCGCCTCCGACCTCCAGCTTGTCCCTCGTGCCCTCCACTCCACCATCCGTGGCTGTGCTTTCAGCCGCCCACTGCGCCCCCGAAACTCTGGAGCACTCTCCCACTATCCCTCTGCCTCGCCCCTTCCTTCCCCAAATTCAGGTCACGCTAAAGACCTCTCTCTTTGACCATGGCTACGGTCACCTTTCCCTCCCCCCAACCCTTTGGGGTAGTGCCCTGCGCGAGGGGGCGCTGTGTAAACACAAAGTTGTTGTTGGTTTTGCTTGATAGAAGGTGCTGCGACTCCGAGCAGTGGCCACGTACTGTGTATCCTGGAGCGGTAATTAGCTGATCACCCATGATCTCTGCGTTGACAGCTGACTGGGTTGGATGATGTGCAGACCTCAGAGGGGTGGGAGCAGTGAGATGTGATGTGCGTCGGTCCCCAGGCGGCTTGTCTGTTAGATGAGATCTCTCGGGGGCCCTCCAGCACTTTCACTCCATCCGTCGCGGGCCTGGCTGGGCAGCCCAACATGTGGATGGTAATGACTAGAGACAACTTTGCCCAAATTCCCGTTCAAGCCCATCGTGTAAACAAGACGCAAGGATCGTTCCACAAACTACGCCCCAGCCCCACACACCCACTGTCATCGCTTCATGCCTCGTGCCAGCACAAGACTAAGCTGTTAACTTGTACCACACCTCATGGCATCTATTAATATAATAATAACCCCGGCATTTGATACAGCGCCTTATCACGTCTTTGAGACGTCTCAAAGCTCTTCACAGGATACAGTGTAAAGTGAATTGACTGTATATTTTGTGGGTGAAACGCGGCTGCCGATTGCGCACAGCAGTGTCCCCACAAACAGCCGTGGATTAAATGACCAAATTAGTATTTTTTGAAGGGATTATTACCCCCCGGAAAAGCAATCTGCCAATCGACTACCAACCGGGTTCCTGCTTGCTGCTCAGTAAACAGAGGGGTGTGTGTGGAGTAAGGAAACTTGCCCAACGTTTCACCGTGGAATCGAGCCAAGGTCCTCTCGCTTGCGAGACAAGAGCTCTAACCACTGAGCTACGGGACTCCAGATTAGCATTAATTTTGCCCAGATGTGCAAGAATGTTTAAATTTACCATCATCTGTTCGCAGAACCCCTTATTGCAAAGACTCTGTCATTTATTGTTCTGCGTTTTAAATGGTACTTGTAGCTGTAATTTGCCCTGCATCTCTGTGGTGCAAGTAACCTGAATATGAAGCTTCCAGGATCTTACACAATAATGATTATGTGCTTCAGAGGTTACTGATTCATCATTAATATTCTGACAATTCGGAGATATCATAAAACTAGCAATTAATGTGCAATAAATTATTTCTGTATGACTGCTTCAGACTGGTGCATTCAGTTGATGGGTACTATTAATAATAGTCCTTGCGTTTGATACAGCGCCTTACCACGTTGTTGAGACATCTCAAAGCACCTCATACAATATACTGTAAAGTGAATTGATTGTGTATTTTCTGGGCGAAACGCGGCACCCAATTGTGCACAGCAGCGTTCGACCAACAGTCGTGGATTGAGTGACCAAATTGAAGGGATTAATACCCCCGGAAAAACAATCTAGCTTTCCCATACCGTTACTGTTCTGGAAATTCTTACCATCGTACTGAGAGATATACTGTACCTTAAGAGAGCATCAGTGACCAGGTCGGGGCCCTGTTGAATGGTGTGAGAGGCAGTAGCAGGAGACTTTGATTGGTGATATAGCATTGGAGTGGTGGCTGGAGTCATTAATAATTGATGGCACATTGCACTGTATGGAGGATGGTCCAATGTCACTGCTAATGGGATGGATTCCTGTACTGCAGAGAGTGTTCAATTAACCCATTCATCAGCCTTCCACAGCAAACAGCGACCAAGTTAAGCACAGGTTAACATCCTCAACATGGCCCGGCTCCTCCACCCCCATCCTCGCCGACTTCACAGGCTTCCCATCACACAGAGGATACAGTACAAGATCCTGGTCCTCACCTTCAAGACCCTCCGCCCCTACCTCTGCGACCTTGTAACCCCAACAGCGGGCTCCGGCCTGCTTAACGTCCCACGCCTCACCCGCCCCACCATTCTACCACTCTGCCCACACCCTCTGGTGCTCCATCCCACAGTTCCTCCGCCTCGCCCCCCACCCCCCCCCCCCCCCGGCTCCTTCAAGACCCATCTCAAGATCCTTCTCTTCGACTCTGTCTTCGATCACCCTCCTTCCCCCTCCCCGCCCTCCTCGATCCTGACCCCCAGCTCGAGTCCGAAACACTGATTGTCCAGCACCTTGGGATGTCCTCGCGATGTGAAAGGCGCTATACAAATGTAATTTTGTTGTTGTATCATCAGTGCGTCTAGCACCTTCCCTATAAGAAGCTGAACCCACAGAGTAGCCTCTGCTGGATGCTCTGATTTTAATGAAACACAAGGACTAATAAGAGTTGACACGATCTTTTGAAAGGTTGGGTCCCAGGATCATCTGGGATATATCCTCACCAGAAATTTAAAGGTAGATGTAACTACTTCTACAGTTAAAATAATGAGCAGAACCACAAGGGTTCTGGTTAGCAATCGAAGGCTGTGTGTCGTGTCACATAGTGAGGGTTCATGACTGGATCTGACATGCCTGCTGTGTTACTCTCAGCTCGTATCACATACAAGGGATGCTCTATGAGAGTGAGGAAGTAGGGAGATGGGTTGTTATGTAGCAGGGCCTTTGTAGGGGATTTAACCGTTTAGTGAGGTGTGTGTGTAAATTATAGTCTATTAATAAGCGTATCTGTATCTAATAGTTTGGTCACTCAATCCACGACTGTTTGTGAGACACTACTGTATGCAATTGGCTGCCGCGTTTCGCCCACAAAATATTCAGACAATTCACTTCACTGTGAAGCGCTCTGAGACATCTCGAAGACGTGATTAGGCGCTATATCAAATGCAACGATTAATATTATTCATTGCGTGAAGAAGACTTTAGGATTACTTCTGCGCTGCTTCTGTTTATCACTTCCTATCACTTTTCTATCACTTCCCAGCTCTGAGATTAATACAGGCTGGAGCTTAATGATTAGGCTAGATTGAATATAGCGGGAATCCTTAGGCTAAAACATAAATCATGATTGCGTTCAGAGCTCTGCAAGAATGTTATGGCTTTGGTTCATTGCAAGGTGTATACTGCACATATAATCTCATCTGAATCTACTGAAGTATTTCCAAACAACTGATCAGGTTGTAATGAATGGCCACTAATCAGTTAATAATATAAAGTGAGAATTTGAGCTTTTTTTAAAAAAAATCGGTAAATGGATAGCTGCCAGTCGCTTCCAAGTATAGATATTAACACACGGGGCTCTTCCACTGGTAAAACAACTCACCAACACATTTGCCATAAAAGGCCATTTCACCCGACTCCAGATACTGTCAGTTCTGAGGAAATTAAAAATTCCTAATTCTATACCATTTTGCCTGCGACATATCCGGTCAATTCACTTTACAGTGTACTTCGTGAAGCGCTTTGAGATGTCTCAACTGCGCGATGAGGCGCTATATCAAATGCAAGGATTATTATATATTATTATAGCAGTAGCAACCAATGATTCAGCCCCTTACTGTTCAGTGTTCTCGACCCAAACACTCAGCAAACCTTGGGATAGAAATCAACAGTTATTTATTATAAATCAGGCCCTGCTAAAGATTACATTAAAGCAGTCATTGCAATGGACATGTCACAGTTAATGATATGATACAGTGTTTTCTTGGATACAATACCATACATATATACTGAGGACAATATATTTGAGATATACACATTTCCTGCCATCCTTTGGATGAGATGTTAAACCAAGGTCCCGTCTGCCTGTTCAGGCACTTTTTGAAAAGAGAAGGGAGTCTCTCTCTCTCTCTCTCCCCCCCCAGTGTCCTGGCCAACAATCCCCCAAACAAAATTGGTCACTCACTCCATGGCTGTCTGTGGGACGTCGCTGTGTGCACTCTGACTGCCCAGTTTCACCAAAAGTCTATCCACTTTACACTGTATCCTGAGAAGCGCTTTGAGACGTCTCAAAGGTGTGGATAAGGCGCAGTATCAAATGCCAGGATCATTATTGTCATCATCATGTACCGTAACTGGTCGGTCATCAGTTTAGAGGCAGGCTGATATCTCTGTTTGCTTGTCGCTGGCCTCGCCGATCCCTGGTTTACGTGGCGAGCTGCCAATGTGATTATCTGGAAGAGAGTTAGTTGCAAAGGCCAAGCATGAAAACAAGAGCAAGATGCTTCGAATCTAGAATATCCTGGTTTGGGGACAAGATAGATGGAGGTGGGGGGGCGGGAGGGCTGCAGATGTAATCCGTTACCGTCGCCTATTCATTGTAGTCTTGATTGTAACATTGAACGAGTCGGGCAGTGTTCGTGCGTGTAAGCTGACCGAGTAAGTTTTGTTCTTTGACGTAGAGGTGTTTGGGCGGGTGCAGGAAATCCCTTCACTGCTCCCTTCCGAGAGCGAGTCCCTGCCTCAGTCCATCAATTGTGAGTGATAGCGAATCGTACAGAAGGATATTTGAACCCTTAAGACTTTCTGACGTGAAGAAGCATCGGTGGTGGGGTGGGTGGGGGGGGGGGGGGAGACCTAGGACATAATCGGAGTGTCTGAGAAGACCGAGGTGATGGACTCGGAGTCGGACTTCAGCTGAAGGATTTTGGGATTCTTGACGTCGGGGAAGTCCTCGCTCACGGCCAGCCGGATCTTCCCGTTCTGGGAATCCTTCACCGGCTCCAGGAACACCACGTGCTTGCCGCCCCCGGTCTTCCTGTTGGCGTCCTCGTTGCAGGGAGGGGTGGCGCTCAGGATGGACGACTGGGCGCTGCATTCGTTGGGCGGAGTGGGGTGGGGGGGGGGCGTCTTGCACCAGCAGCGGCAGGGTGTCAGGTACAGGTACATGAGGACCAGGACCAGGCTCACCACGCAGCCCAGGAGGGTGGTGAGCCCCGTGTTGAAGCCCTCGCCGTCGGACTTCCTGTAGAGCACAGTCACGTTGACCTCCTGAGACTCGTTGCGCATCAGCTGCTTGTTCGTGGCCATGCAGATGTAGATGCCCGAGTCGTCTTTCTGAGTTCTCCTGATCTCCAGGCTCCCGTTGGGGTAGAGCTTGAACATCTTGTTGAAGCTGCCCGGGTAACCGATCAGCTCCTTGTTGGGGGTAATCCACACGTAGGTAGTGTGAAGCTCCTGTAAGCTGGTGTTACAGACGATCAGCAGCGACTCGCCCACTGTGGCCACGTAGTTGTTGTCGACCAACCCCAACAGTCCGTGGCTCGCATACGTACAGTTGTCGAAAAGCTTCCTGTGCTTGAGGAACCGCAGAGAGACCCGGGGCTGCCCGGCTGCCCGGCACGTGTGCTCCTCCTGGAAGTCGTAGATGGAGCTGAACTGGTATTTCTCCCAGTGGAGCAGCATGCTGTACAGAACACAGTCGCACACCAGGGGGTTGTTGTGGAGGTACAGGCCGTTTTTAACGTTGTGGGACAGAGCGATCACCTGGTCGACCGGGATGGAGGAGAACCAGTTGGACGAAATGTCCACGATCTTTAGCCGAGGTAGCGTGCTCTCGTGCAGCGAGCCGAACGGGAAGTGGGTCAGCTGGTTCCAGCTGAGGTACACCTTCTGCAGGCTGCTGAGCCTCGCCAAGGCCCCCTCGTCCACCCGGGCAATCTGGTTGTTGTACAGCAGCAACTCCTCCAGGTGCGTCAGCTCCCGGAAGAAATGCTTCTCCACAGAGTAGAGCCTGTTGGTGGACAGGTCCAGGTGCGTGATCAGCGAGCCACTCGGGAAAGCCGCCTCGGCGATGCGAGCGATGCGGTTGTGGTTGGCTCTCAGCGTGGTCAGGCGAGGGAGGTGAGACAGCCGGTTGTCGTGCAGCTGAAGCAGGAGGTTGTGGCTGAGGTCGAGGCTGGTGGCTGTCTCGGGCAGCCGTGCGGGCACCACAGACAGGTTCTGACTGACACAGCTCAGTAGGTCGGAGGCACAGATGCACACGGCAGGACAGACATGCAGGCTGGCTCCGGATTTCCCAATGAACTGTTCCCATAAGAGTCCCACTGACAGCCACCACAGAACCGAACCCGCTGATCCAGGGCCACGCATGATCCAATCCCCCTCGCCTTCCTGCCCGCGACTCGGAGCCACTGCGGTCAAGTTTGCCTTCAAGTTTTTATATAAAAATAAGCCACTGATGTGTGTGTCTGTCTGTTATCAGTCTAACACCCAACCTTGGGCCGCGACTGTAAGGACAAACATACTAGGCTGCAGGATTTCACAGGGGTTCAGAGCTGCGGGTTTCAAACCATTCCGAGGTTTCAGCTCACAAATCACACAACGTATCTGCGTTTCTAATGCGACCGCATTCTGTGGCGTTCTGTTCTGCTGCCACCACTCAATCCCAAGCAGTAAATTCACATTGTTTTATTTCCCTGTCGTACCCTCTTTAATGAAAGTACATACTTACAGACGAGACTTGCTGTTTAATCACCCGCTGCCCGATTCCCGCTGCCTTGCTGTCAGGTTAAGGTGGAGGGGCTGATGGTCACTGCGAGATTCTGACCAGTAATGGGATTGTCAAAAGTGATGAAACTTCCTCTCCTGTGCACTCCAGGCAGGTGAAGTCGCAAAGCAAACGGACTTGATGTTGGCTTGAATGAAGGAGGACGCCTTAGCTCGCTTAGTGCAGACCGGTCACTGGAGCTGTTGAGAAGAAATCCTTCAATGCGGACAAACCACGACTGATCAAACCGCCCCTAACCGTGGGCGATGAGCGATCAAGCCAAAGCTCTCTCTGCCTCTCGCAGACTGTGTACAATCCATTCCCCTTCGCTGTCTATTTAAACTGGAGTGGTGGAGGCTGTGTGCTGACATGGGCAGGGCTTGCTGCTCGGGGTCTGTTACTGACACGTTCTGGCTGCATCCAATCAGCGTGGCAGTTCGAGGCATTGCTGAGTTGGTTTTCGTTGCAGTGTCGGGCTGCGCTGTGCCGGGCTGTGCAGTTCATGATGTTCACCACCAGTCGGTGGAACTGAACCACTTACTGGGCTGTACCTTCCTGAGCAAAGAAGCTGTTTTGCTTTGTATAAGAACATCAGAATTTCCCAGGCAAAAGAAGAGCAAGGTCCATCTAGTTCGCCTTCCAACCTCCTGGCAGTCACTTGACATGTCGTGTCCCAAACTCTATCCTGTATACCATAGACAGTCAATTCTGTAAAGAATATTATTAGTAGTATTATTCTGTGAAGGGCTTTGAGACGTCTCAAGGACTTGATAAGGTGCTATCTCAAATGCTGTATATATTATTGCTGTATCCCGATATATTATTTTCTAGCAGGAATCAATCTAATTTGTTCTTGAAACAAACAAGGCTTTCAGCTTTCTGCGAAACGCGGCAGCCAATTGCGCACAGCAGTGTCCCACAAACAGTTGTGGATTGAGTGACCGAATTTTTATTATTATATTTTTTGAAGGGTTTATTGCCCCCGGAAAAGTGATCCACCGATCGACTAACAACCAGGTTCCTTCTTACTGCTCGGTAAACAGAGGAGTGCCTGACTTCTCACCCTGTCCGGGAATCGAACCCAGGTCCTCTCGCTTGAGAGGCGAGTGCTGTATGATTCCGATTGCGGAGTCTTCTTTGTGTTTGAATCACCTACAGTGTCACCTGCGTTCTCATTCTCTCTCGGCCCCTTTTGCTATTCATCGTGTATTATCCATCCCTGTATTAATCAGCGCCTGAATGATGGACTGTATTGTTAGAATCGTTATTTTCATCGGGTTTTGCGGAAACATGTTTTCTGTGTGATTTCCTGTCTAAGCTGACAGTAAATCGCACTTGTGCAGAACGAAGGCTTCTGAGATTTGAGACGGTCAAGCGCTTGATGTGATGGTGACAGACAGTCAGCCCCCGATCAAATTTACAGCACTTCACAAATGATCTCTGGGCAGCAGATAGCTGTCTGGCAGCTCTCTCACTTGCTCACTCACTTACTCACTTATTCCCTCTCCTCTCTCCATCTCTCTCGCGCTCTCTCCCTCTCTGTCTTCCCTCCCCCCTCCCTCCTATTCCTTATCCCATTTAAACCATTTCCTGAACATTCCTGTTTTCATCACATCCTAACTTGATTATTCCACTAACCTGCTCACCAGACTCCCCAATTCCTTGCCCGAGATCCACAGAACAATTTTGTCTTTGGCCACTCAACCCACGGCTGTTTGTGGGGACGCTGCTGTGCGCAATTGGCTTCCGCGTTTCGCCCACAAAATACACAGACAGTCCAATTTACCGCATAGTCTGTGAAGAGCTTTGAGACCTCTCGAAGACTTGATAAGGCACAGTATCAAATCCAAGGATTATTATTATTATGATGAAGGTGATATTTGTGGTCTTGTGTAGAAGTGGATTGAATGTCCATTTGCTTCTCCTCTCAATACCTCCCGGTGGCTGCTCTTTGGCATGGCTGTATAACTTTCAGCTGAGTTTTGCCTCATGAATTATTTGCAGTTGCTGCCTGCCTGATGCGCTCTGTACCAAAATTTCAATACACTGTGTAAAGTGAGAGCAGGAAAGTCTTCTGGCAGTGCTTCTGTGGTGCCTGCTTAACAGTTGGATAGTTTTTGAATGACATTCAAAAAACACGGAGGAGCTTTACAATGACTGCGGTGAAAAATGCTGCAGTATTTGTGGTGTTTATCAACCAACCAACTAACCAACCAACCATGTAAAACAAGAATAATATCAGTAAAGATAGGATGTAAATCAAGCAGATTTATCATGAGCAGTACCCAGGATGACATGTTATCGTAACTATGTGTTAGGTTTGCAGAGAGAGACAGGGAATTAATGGTCAAATCTAAACGCTAACAATCTGTCCGTTTTGTCCACAAAACATAGTCAATTAATTTTACAGTACATCCTGTGAAGCGTTTTGAGACATCTCGAAGAAGTGATAAGGTGCAATATCAAATGCAAGGATTATTATTATAAGAATCACTTGAGACGTTTTGGGAATTCTTTGAAGTTCGAGCCACTTGAAGTCTGGGTTCCCATAATAAAAACATCCTTACACAGAAGCTGTGGGAAACAAACCGCCCAAACAAAAGTACTTGAGACACTTTGAAAAGTTCTGGTTTATTGTAAGACCATCCTTCTATAGCCGGTAGAGTACTGACTGGCCAATGACCATTATAAACTGAGCCACTTGGAAGCTCTAGTTTTTTTTGCATCTTAAAGGAGCCAAATGTGGAGTCCTGTAGCTCAGTGGTTAGCGCTCTCGCCTCGCAAGCGAGAGGACCCGGGTTCGATTCCTGGGCAGGGCGATAAGTTAGGCAAGTTTTCTTACTCCACACACACGCCTCTGTATACCTAGCAGTAAGTAGGAACCTAGTTGTTAGTCGATTGGCGGATCGCTTTTCCGGGAGTAATAATCCCTTCAACAAAAAAATAAGAAGAAACTGGTCACTCAAACCACGACTGTTTGTGGGAAACTGCTGTGCGCAATTTATGGGCAGCCATGTTTTGCCCACAAAAATATACAGATAATTCACTTTACAGTATATTGTGGTCAAGCGCTTTGAGACGTCTCGAAGACGTGATGAACTGTTATCTCAAATGCAAGGATTATTATTATAAGAGCTGCGCAATGTACCTGTAGGCAATGCATGTTGATTTCAGCAGAATTCAGGCTTCCATATTTTATCAATTGCATCATGACAGGAATGCCAGCAGCTGCAAAATAAAAGCTCGTTGTTCATTCGGAACACATGAAGTATGAAAAACAAACAGAAAATAGGTGTCCCTGATAGGGGAAGCACAGACTAAATCAGTGGGGATATCAGCAGCTGACCTGAAGGGGCTCATATCATAACAGAGTCTTAACAGGGGAAAGCCATAACATTTTTCAACACATGAGATACTGAGTTTCCGTCTACAAAATGCACAGTGAGTTACGATGCTTTACAATAAATCCTGCGAAGAAGTGCTTTGCGATGTGCCCCTGACATGAAAAGCTGCACGCATTTAGCTGCCACGTTTGCCCACAAAACGCCCAGTCACTACATTTTTACATTCTATTCCGTGAAGTGCTTTGAGGCGTCTCGATGACGTGATGAGGCGCTGTATCAAATGCCAGGATTATTATTGTTGTTGTTATTATACCCAAGTGCAAGGATTGTGATTACAGTTAGCAACGAAATGCACGGATTCTGGATTTTTTTTTTACAATATTTGCCTGAAAATACAATTCACGATAACTGGGTCTGATTTCCCGCTGCTGCAATGCCCAGGAAATACCCAGCAGTCACCTTGTGATGGAGATGCTCTAACCATGGTGTCTTGCCATTTACTTTGCAAAAACTGTGTTTGCTTAGCCCTCTTACCAGTCAGAATAAGAGTCCCCGTTAAGATCAGCCGTAAGTGACGGCAAATAAAACACACCTGAGGTTTTAAGCGCGCAGCCGAGTGAAACCATGTATCATGAATGTATTTTACCGCCTTATAGTGGAAGATGGGTTAAAAAGGGACTTTTTAACTTTATATATAGATTGTAATATGGCTCATGAGCACATGTATGTACAGTCGTTGTAATACCACAGTAATCTGTTTCTTGCAGTTAATGTTGCAGCAGTTTGATGGGTAAGAAGAATGAGGGAAAGTGGTATATCTTTTGCCAGAAACAAATCTACGGATCATTAACACTTCCTTTCCAAACAATGATAAATGTTAGAAACTTATTTGCGTTGGCAGTTTGTGATTCAATGCAGTTACCGGAGATCTGGGCCATTTATCGGAATTGACCACAGGACCATTAGCCATGGAAGTGAAGTGCAGTCCTGTAGCTCAGTGGTCAGAGCACTCGCTTTGCAAGCGAGAGGACCTGGGTTTCATTATAATATATTCTGTGAAGAGCTTTGAGTCATCTTGAAGACGTGACAAGGCGCTATATCAAATGTAAGGATTATTGCCGTCTATTTCTGGAGAATGATGTGTAAATGAGAATCACATCCTTGGTGTCTCCTTACTACTTGTCTGCGCTCTAAGAGAAAACCATCGATTTTCCCAGAAACAGATTCTCCTGATACTTTGCTTCTCTCCGCTCTTGAGAAAATATCGCAGTTATTTATAGACACTGAGCAGTTTGCCCTTGTTTGTATGTTCTGCTGTTTTTAGCCACATGGGGACAGCCTTGTTACTGCAGATGGATCTCATTACATTTATGTCATTATGTTAACCGCTCACTGGGACAGCGGGTTGGTTTACTTAAGAGCATTCACGCTAAATTTGATCTGTTTATTCCACGTCGGCACGGAATTGGCTGCCGCGTTTCGCCCACGAAATGCGCAGTCACTCCACTTTACAGTATATTCTGCGAAGCGCTTTGATGGTGATGATTATTATTATTATTATGTTGACTGGCAGACGTGAAAGCCAACTTGTGAAAGGCTGAAAATAATTAGATCGGCTGAAGTACGTTGGCTTTGTGTTTACTGTGTGCACATGATGAACAGCACCTCAAGGTGTAATTGCTCAGATGCTGGATGTATTCATTTCAGTACGTTCAATTCCAGCCCATGGTTTCCTGCTCTAGTATAATAGCTTTGTGCTGTGTGTGTGGGTGGACCCTTCACATACATCGAGACATAACTTATTCAGCTCCAAATGTGAATCGTCGCTTATTTCAGTTTCTATCACGGGAAAAATGGTCAGTATCGACCCTCGCTGTAATAATAGGTTTTGAAATCGTCAACAGACCTCTTTGTTGTAACAGCTTGTAATTGCGGGGCTCTGCGTGTGTTAGGCAAGAAGCCATCATTAATATTGTATGTCAGAGTGTGGCCGGAGACTCGTGTTGGAGAATGGAACATGTTTGGTTGATTTTCTTTAAGATTTATTTGTTTCCAGGGTCCAGTGACCTCACTGTGGTGTCCTGTGGCTCAGTGGTTAGAACTCGCACCTCCCAAGCGAGAGGACCTGGGTTCGATTCCCGGGCAGGGCCAAAGGCCTTGTGTACCTTGTAGTAAGTAGGAATCTGGTTGTTAGTCGATTGGTGGTTCGCTTTTCCGAGGGTAATAATCCCTTTCCAAAAAAAAAACCAATAATATGGTCACTCAATCCATGGCTGTTTGTGGGGACGCTGTTGTGCGCAATTGGCTGCTGTGTTTCACCCACAAACAACACAGTCAATTCATTTTACAGCCTATCCCGCGAAGCGCTTTGAGACATCTCAAAGACGTGATCAGGCGGTGTATCAAATGCGAGGATAGTTATTATTATTATTAAAGGTCGGGTGATTGTTCCAGACAGGTGCCGGAGCCCAAAAAAGAATCCTCTTGATTTGTTCTTTGATGTCGCGGTCACTCGGATCCCAGGGGGCCGAGTGGAAGTTATCTCTCTGCCCTTTGACTGACGTGTTTCCTCTCTGATCGTCATTTCAGGATCCAGCGTGCCACGGCTGTGCTTCTTGCTGATCCCTGCTTCCAGCTGCGATCGATTCAATACCTCCTCGGAGAAAATGAGACGTCTACCCTGGGAGCAACACCCTCCACGGCCGAGAGGAAACACTTCTCTCTCCAAGCATGTGAGTGGAATCGATACCAGAATTGCTAGCAGTAATTTAAGAGATCCTCAGTTAGCACTGGACACGCAAAGCTTTATGAATGAAACCATTGCTTCTGTTGTATGTAGGGATGGGTTAGGTTGTCCTAGACATTTGTTCAATCGTTTTGAGTGGTTTGCATTCACGTGAGTATGTTTGCCAGTGATCAATATGTTCCACTGAACAAGGCTCTCCATTCTCACCACAATTAGTGCAGTCCTGTAGCTCAGTGGTTAGAGCACTCGCCTCGCAAGCGAGAGGTCCTGGGTTTGATTCCCGGTCAGGGCGAAACATTGGGCAAGTTTCCTTACTCCACACGCACGCCTCTGTTTACCAGCTGTAACTAGGAACCCGCTTGTTAGTCAATTGGCAGATCGCTTTTCTGGGGATAATAATGTGTACACAAAAAAATAATAGTTTGGCTGCCGCGTTTCGCCCACAAAATATACAGTCCATTAATTTTACAGTATATTCTGTGAAGCGCTTTGAGACGTCGCAAAGCCCTGATAAGGGGCCGTATCAAATGCGAGGATTACTATTATTATGAATAGTGACTGGAAAGCACTTTTTGTTGAGAAATAAGGCAAAATACTCGTATCTGATGTTTTCATTGCAAATATAATGCAAATTCCAGAACAGTCGAGAACATTGGCCCCACTCAAATATGAAATGACTTTTACTAGAGGCATCATTTGTGATGGGAAGTGCCGCATGTCCCTCCAGGGAACTTAATTTATTAAGACATAACATTCAGCAAAGTTAATGATCACTTTATAAAACCACACTTTCCAGTTTGAACTTCAATTGACCTGATTACAACCAAGACAAATGTATGTGACATCAGACAAAAAAAGTCCTTGACTCTCTCACGCAAGGTTTTCTGCTCTGATAAAGAGACAGTGTTCGTTTGTTCGTTCATTATATGCTTTACAAAGGCTACGTTTGCATTCTTTTTAACGTGAGAGCCATCTTTGATCTGCAAACTCCCTCCCTCCCTCCCCCGAGCCGGCCTCAAAGGATTGTGTGATTCAGAGTTTAGACGGGACAGAAGAACCAGTGAGTATACAAAACCGAGCTCCTCCTGTCCCTTAAGATGCTTAAAATGCTTAAGACCAATGTCCATCTCCTGGCCACCTTCCTGGCGATCACGTGCCCATATGTCCCGACCTCCCCATGTACCGTACCCCACAATGTTGTTTCCTAAACGGAAACTATCTAATCTGCGTTTGAAAGAATCAGCACTTCCTGCTTCAGCCGTCTCCCCAGGGAGGCTGATCCACAAGTTCACCACTCGCTCACTGAAATAGTCTTTGCGTAGATTTGTTCTGAATTTACCCCCGTGCTGTGGTTTTACTATTCTGGACGAGTTGGAGCACCCTCTCATGATCTATATTGTTTTGCCTCTTTAGAATCTTAAAGACACTAATCAATTCGCCTCTCAATCTTCTCTCTCCCAGTGCGGCTGTTCCCAATTTACAATCATTGTATATTGTTCACACTGGGTTTTTGCTGAGTGAGAGGGAGAGACCGGATAGATTGTAACACAGACAGTTTAATTTCAAACATTTTTTGCAAATTTCTGAATTCTGGACATGATCCTGATGATGATAACCCTCGCATTTGACACAGTCTTCGAGACGTTTCAAAGCACTTCACAGGACACACTGTGAAGTATAGTGACTGTATATTTTGTGGGCGAAACTTGGCAGCCAGTTGCGCACAGTGGCATCTCACGGACAGCTAACACCTAACTCCTTCTAATTCCAAGGGAGGATCAGTGGTCAGTTTTTTTTTTTGGCCGCTTTTCTTACAAAGCGACATCTCGTTGCTTTTTTACTGGTTTGCTCTTGTCTGTCTTTTCAGAAAGAACTAATGTTGATTAACTGCAAACTATATCGTGCTTTGCTTCTGTTATCCTGCAGCCTTGACCCTGATCTTTATCTGCTATCTGATGCCGTGCAGCAGCTTCGGTTTTTAATTAGGAACGTCAGTTTCAGACGTCTCGGTGCTTGGCTAAGTCAGACCCAGAGGCATTTTATTCATATCTGTCTTGAGAGATTGACGGTCAATATGGCTGCTCCTCACAGAGGATCTTTCTACCTGCGGGATAGTCACCTTTGATTTGATAGGTTGGTTTGCGGGGCTGTGAGGAGGCTATACCAATACAATACAACATGATGTTTTGCACAATGCCTTTCACGTCGGGAGGTCGTCCCAAGACGCTGGGCAGGGCAATCAGGGATTTGGACCCGAGCTGATGGCTGGGAACAGGAGGGGGTGGAGGACAGGGAGGGTGGGGAAGGAGGGTGACCGAAGGCGAGGTGGAAGAGGAGGGTCTTGAGACGTGCCTTGAAAGAGGCGAGGGAGGAGGGAGGGAGGGAGGCGAAGGGGACTGTGAGATGGAGTTCCGAAGGGTCTCACCATTCAGTTAGTCTTTGTGATGAATTGCCAATTTCTGGAACACGTCCGAGAAAGTTCTTTTCAATTCGAATCAAGAATTTGGTTTACTAAAAGCACCGTACAGTCTAGCGCACAGCCCTGGAGATCAGAGGAACTAAGTTAGATTACGATTTGTTCCCAGGCTCCTATCTTGGCTCGAGCAGCAGTTTTAGATGCTTTAATTGACCTTGGCTGCCATGGATCGCAGTCCTGATCAATATCAAGTGAGAAAATAATGCCAATAGCACACTGGAAAGCAAGCAGAACTCAAACACGCCTTATAAAAGATTTTATTTAATATTATACTGTATTGTAAAAACACAGAGAGAATACGTAACTCCCCGTGGGAAAATCAAAATAATTAAGAGGAACGAAATATAAACATGGGGAACGGAAAACTAAATAATAATAATCCTGGCACTTGATACAACGTCTAATCATGTCTCGAGACGTCTCAAAGCGCTTCACAGGATACGCTGTAAAGTGAATTGACTGTATTTTATGGGCAAAACGGTAACAGCCCATTAAAGATAACAAAGAGGCAGGACCAGGCAGTTTAACAAAAATATCTTCTGACCTTATAACTCACAGATCATGGGAAAGGATTAGACAAGAGGCCCCTGTGTTTGGCTCTTATTGACTGTCAATGTTCAGCCTGAAACAAAGTCTACATAATAATAATAATCCTCGCATTTGATACAGCGCCTTATCACGTCTTTGAGACGTCCCAAAGCGCTTCACAGGATACACAGTAAAGTGAATTGACTGTGTGTTTTGTGGGCGAAACGCAATAGCCAATTGCGCACAGCAGCGTCCCCACAAACGGCCGCGGGTTGAGTGACCACATCATTATTATTATCACTATTATTATATTATAAATCCTTCGATGTGAAAGGTATTAATTATATCAAGTGCAAGGAATATTGTTATTATTTAGGATTACTTTGTACGAGACAGACGTACAGTATTCCCGGTTGGAGCTGCACTCATTCATTACACTAATCATTAGAACAGTTGCCCAGAAGCCACTCTGAGGTCATTTAATATTTTTATTGTAGATCACAATTTCTGTGGCTGTACTCTGTAGGTTAGTGGTTTAAGCTCTCTTCTGGCCTCCTGTGGCAATCAGAGTGTTAACACCATTGTATAAAAACTCTGTGCGCAAATATTATTCTGTTATTTATCTCCCGTCGGTAACTTTAACCAGGATTAAATATTCACTGCAGTTGAAAAGGCATTTAGAATAAACTGGGAATTAGAAACTTTGGTTCATAGCGCTTGAAGTATTATAATAATATTAATAATAATAATAATCCTTTGCATTTGATGCAGCGTCGTATGTCTTTGAGTGAATTGACTGTGTATTTTGTGGGCAAAATTATCCGTCTCAAGTACATATTGTAGCAGACTGGCAGGTGGTAGGGTAGGTTACCAAGATATCATTGCAGTTGAATGTGCTGTTTGTTTCACTACAGATCCAGAATATATCAGCCTGGAGGAATTGGGGAAGGTTGAAGACTTATTCTCCCACCTGACCAACGAGTCTAAACAGGCTGCAGCCGCTGCCCTGGTGAGTATCTGTACCCGAGTCCAGAGGAACATCACGGTGGGGATGTCATTGTTTTATTATAATTTGTGGGCACCAGTGTGTATGAGTCCTGTAGCTCAGTGGTTAGACCGCTACCTCACAAGCGAGAGGACTTGGGTTTGATTCCTGGGCAGGACAGGGCGAAAGGTTAGACAAGTTTCCTTACTCCACACACACGCCTCTGTTTACCAGCAGTGAGTAGGAACCCGATTAGTCGATTGGCGGTAGATAACAATCCCTTCAAAAAAATTATAATAATAATTTGGTCACTCAATCCACGACTGTTTAACGTTTCATATACCTGCTGCTGTAGTCAGCACTGAAGAGCTCATCGTAACGTAAAACACCTCTAAGTGATAGCGGTGTAGAATGAGTAAACCCACCACACAGACTCAGCTGAGAAAAAGGGAACATGATTAATAATTTAGGCAACAAAAGGCATCTGGTTTTATAAGGGTTGGAGTTCTGATGTATCAGCAGCTTTCAGTTATAAGTAACAAAGACTGTCCGAGCAGTTTGAACAAGTTTCCTGTCAACGGTTTGAAAATATCGGCAGTTTTAGATTCATCAGCCTGGGCAACAAACACTGTTATCAAGGTGGAGTGGAGTCACTGTAGCTCAGTGGTTAGAGCGCTCGCCTCGCAAGCGAGAGGACCTGGGTTTGATTCCCGACAGGGCAAAATGTTGGGCAAGTTTCCTTACTGCACACACTCCTCTGTTTCCCTAGCAGTGAATAGGAACCTGCTTAGTTGATTTATGGATCGCTTTTCCGGGGGTTATAATCCCTTTAAAAAAATAATAATTTGGTCACTTCAATCCTCGACTGTGTGTGGGACGCTGCTGTGCGCAATTGGCTGCCGCGTTTCGCCCACAAACTATCCAGTCAATTAATTTTACAGCGTATTCTGTGAAGCGCTTTGAGACGTGTCGAAGACCTGAAAAGGCGCTGTATCAAACACAAACACTATTATTATTATGATTGTGACTAAATCTAATCCAGGCCAATCTCTCAACCAAAATAGTCAGTTTTCCCACCACACACACACGCACCACAACACATAAGTTGCTGGGGGTTGAAAATATGAGAGTGCAAAGGAAGTAGTTAATTACTGAATGCCCTTTCTGCTCTTGTGTTATGATGCGCTGACTTTAATCTGCCTTTGAACCAACGAGTAAAGATAGTCTTACAGCCAGGAGAATACTCTCACTCAGTATCAAGGTGAGATAATGTGGTGACAGAGTTTTATTACCACCCGAAGTGAGGGAGTTATGTATTTCGGGTCGTTTTTCAACACGTTTCTGAGACGATCAAATGTAAATCTATTCCTGCCGCTGAGCTCAGAGACAATGACCTTTTTGATATTCCGCTCAGCACAAGTGCGACAGAAACCTATTCCATTCTCGAGCAAATCGACAGAGAAACTATTTAAAGACAATGTTAAGGCTTCAAATGTACAGCGCTAACCTTTCTCTCCTCTCCTGCTTGAACAAGATTTTGACTGTCCGAGAGCTCAGTGTAGTGGTACTTATTGTTTCACATTGTTATTTCATACGATTGCAGCATTTGCAGGCTCTTATCTTTTTTTACAGTTTACAGTACATCTGTGAAGCGCTTTGAGACACGTCGAAGACGTGATATCAAATGCAAGGATTATTATTATTTCCATTGCCCTTTGGTGAAAAATTGCCTCCGGATTTTGAAAAAATCATCCCTGATTGCTCTCGTCAGCACTATTTTCCCAGCTGAAAGTTTCCTTGCTGTATGTAATAATAATAATAATAATAACAATCCTTGCATTTGACGTAGAGCTTTATCACGTCTTCGAGACGTCTCAAAGCGCTTCACAGAATATACGGTAAAGTGAATTGACTGTATATTTGTGGACGAAACGCGCAGCCGACTGCGCACAGCGGCGTCCCCACAAACAGCCGCGGGTTGAGTGACCAGGTGATTGTTATTATAAATTTTAAAAAAAAATTTGAAGGAATTATTAGCCCCAGAAAATGTAGGTGGTTTGCTGCCAGTGCAGCTGCGGCCAATTCCCCAGCAAGTAACCGGCCTCCCACAGCTCCCGTCAAACCACTACAAGTTCAGTATTTCATATACTTTGTTAATTTTCTCTCTAAGCAGTTGACGTCTGGAGGTTGTAAATTGTAAAGATTTTCCCAGTGATGTGAAAGCAAGTTGTAAATTTCCACTGACCGGCCAGTGTTTAAAGGTCATGTGTACCTGTGACTTAGAGCCTCTGTTCTGCTGCTTAGCCCCTGTTTCTATCAGATTTATTGTTTCTTTGCTGGAGTTGACAGCTGGCAGGTAACATTTTACCTCTTCCAAGTTGCCCAATTTTCAATATTATTAGTGACATTTGACTTGTTCTACGATTGGAGGCACTCTGTACGGTCACAGTACATGAGTCCAGAGCAGTCTGATATTTTCCCGGTTGTTAGTCGATTGGCGGATCACTTTTCCGGGGGTAATAATCCCTTTCCAAAAATTAATAAATAGTAATTTAGTCACTCAAGCCACGACTGTTTGTGGGGACGCTGCTGTGCGTAATTGGCTGCCGTGTTTCGCCCACAAAGTATACGGTCAATTCACTTTATAGTATATTCTGTGAAGCGCTTTGAGACGTCTCGAAGATGTGATAAGGCGCCGTATCAATTGCAAGGATTATTTATTTATTATTGTATCAAATGCAAGGATTATAATACTAATAATAATTATTATTATCAGAGGCTTAGGAAATGGCTATAATAATAATAATTATATAATAATAATTATTATTATAGCCATTTCCTAAGCCTCTGGTCTGGTGTAATTAGCTGGAGATCGGTAATGCATTTCATTTTTCTTGTTCGTTCCTTGTGGGAACATCTACAAGGCATCAATAATGACCTTTATAAAACACTGATTGCTGTACTTTGTATTGTAAGAGAGATGTCTGAACCAATCCTGCTGGGTTAGAATTCCTCAATGAAATGCGGGCTTCTGCCTTTGATAAAGCTTCAGTGTGTGTGGGGGGGGGGTGGGGGGTGCAGCAGTAGCCTAAGGAATATAAATGTTTTTATTTTCTTTCTTGCAGCCGACCAGTGAGGAAGACCTGTGCCCTATTTGTTATGCACACCCGATCTCTGCAGTCTTCAGGCCATGTACACACAAGTCCTGCAAGTAAGTCATCGCTCTCATAGTCAGTGCAAGGTCAGAGACCTCCTCGCAGGTAAACACTGGATGTTGACACTCATTTAGATTGTTGCAGATTGCGTTGTGAAGTCTCCTCCTTCGTGCCCTCGGTTCCACCATCGGTGGCCGCGCTTTCAGGTACAACGCCCTTTCCTTCCCCATCTTCAGATCGAGCCGTCCTCTTCGACCGTGATTACGGTTACATCAAAATCCGGTCAATTCACTTTACAGTATGTTCTGTGAAGCGCTTTGAGACGTCTCGAAAGAGGTGATCAGGCGCTGTATTAAATGCCGGGATTATTATTGATTATTAAACCCAGAGTCACCAAACCTTAACCAGTTATTGTTCCCCTTTCAGGGCCTGCATCAACCAGCACCTGATGAACAACAAGGATTGTTTCTTCTGCAAGGCCACTATCACCGGAGTGGATGACTATATTAAGCCATCCACCTCCTTCACATCCTAATCGCCACCGATCGATTGCCTGTGACCCTGGTCCTGTGACCCTGCGTTTACCTGCTTTCCTTTCTTTGCCAGCGTAAAGGAGAGACTCTCTACTCAGAGGTATTTGGGGACAATTCAGTTGGGTATTTTTGCAGGGACTGAAATCGGATATTCGATGTTTACAAAGGGAACGGTCCTTGGAATGGTGCTTCACCAGCTGATGAGACGCTAGTTAGACTCTGCTATTTCAATTCATATATCGATCGCTAGAGAGACTGAGACAAATGTGTTCTAAAGGACAACTAATAGATTGGATTTCGCTTTGTCCTGTCAGATATCGGCCCGCACACTAATCCTAAACCACATTCAACTACCCGGGTCCTAATGCCTGCCCAAAACCTGATGATATGACAAACACTTAGGGGTCTTGTGAAATTTAAAATGATTTGAGGAAGGAGGGTATGTTGGTGTCCTGGACACTTGTGTGCTTTCCGCTGTTGGAGCTGTGAGGTGGTAATGGGATCTAACCAGGCAGATATATTCATCCAGTTAATTGCTGCATGTGATGTGATGATGCTTTCATCTGTCGAGAGCAAGATCCCTTTAAACTCTTATGGTTTGTTACTCCCCTAAATAGGTGCATGGAATCAGCACAATTCTCCAGCCTCCCTCCCTCCTTCAGGAAACTGCAAGGTTACTGTTAAGCACTGTCGATCACTATCGGCTATTGTATTTTATTTGGAGGATGCTGCATTGTTCAGTTCTCGACCTTGTCCTGAACGACAGAGGAATTTTGCGCCAGATATTAAGTATCTCCAGACTTTCCAGGCAGGATCCTCTGCCAGGTCTTCCCTGCAGCAAACCAACCTTGGAGGCAGCAGGTTCCTGCTTATTTTCCTGATTGTCTGTCTGTCTCTCTGTGGGGAAGGAACGTCAGGATAGAGCTCTGTTTACATCGGGTGCTTTTGAGCGTGAGGTCGTGACATCAGTGAACCTTCAGCACACGGGGACTTTAGTTAATGGCCATGTGGAGTATATCTATGTTGCTGTACTTTTCTCAATGGGCCTCAGAGACATTATGTCCCCAGACCTGGCTTTGTGATACTCCGGTTATTACAGGGAATGTGCTTTGGGTTCCTTTGGTTCTTTCCAATCTTCAGTAAAACACAAGACCGGGGAGAAACGGTATCAACCGAGCCAATGCCCACTTTATAACACTCAAATCTATTACGTACGAATAATCCCACTGAGATAAAGGTACAAGTCAACTGTGCACAACATGGGAGGGAGGGAGTGTGCAGCGTCTGGACTCTGTGATGTTAGTTTATTGAGTTCCAGTGTGTGCCTCTAACAAACACTTGCCATACAAGATCCTTTCCTGTCCAACAGCCAAAGGCTGTGGCGACTGATGCTTTACAATAGCAGTTTGTCAGACCAGATTGTGCATTATTATGCTGAAAGGACTTGTTACAGAAACACACAAAAGGTACAGTTTACATCAAAGAACATGTGTTAGGAGTTTTGCAGTCCAGTTACGGGATGTTGAGGAGTTTGCATCCCAGTCAGACACGTGTCTGATTTAAGCTTTCAGCTACTGTAGGTCAAGAGAGTGATTTTTTTTAATCCTTCACACCAATTGTCACTTTAAAGAGAAGGGTCCTACTTTGCACACAATATGTACAGTCAATGCAGTGTATCCTGCGAAGCCCTTTGAGACGTCTCGAAGACGTGATAAAGCGCGATATCAAATGCAAGGATTATTATTATTACTCCATTCGTTACTTCTCATTAATTGTCACGACTGCTTCTGGAATTGTCTGGCAGTAACTTATTCCAACTATGAGTACAGTAGTAGGTGGTTTTGCTATAATGAGAAGCAGACTGTTGTTACAGGTGGAATCAGATTGGGAAACCGCTGAGCTGGGTCTGGCTGCTCCCAGGACCCTCGCTGTTAAAGGGCTGGGTGTCGGCTGATATTAAACTCATTACTAAAAACCAGGTCATTCTTTTAGAGCTTTTAAATTTTGTAAAATGATCCAATATCATTATCGGAACTTTCTGTGGGTCTCAGCCATATAAAATATTGTCTAAACGTCAGAATTGTTTGACCCTAAATTTGGTTACTTTCGCGGGGTCAAAGCTTTACACCTTTTTTTTATTAAAAAAAAGATTTCACAAATCGGTTCGATTCTTATTTTGAAGCGAAGCCAGGTGAAGGCACCAGGACCCCGTTTTAATAATGTTCGGCGTGTTATTTACTGGTGAGGGAGAGAGAGCTAGAAGAACCCACACTTCCCACCACCCCTCAGTGCGTGGGGTTTGGGAGCCGGGTGTTTTAACTGCTTTTAATACTTATTAACTAAGATTTCCTGGTGGTGTCGGGGAGAGTGTGGAGAAAATGTAAAGCTGCTGCTTGTGTTGATCTCAATGGACAGTTCAGTTCTCGTGTGTGAGTTTATCTGCAGATCTGAGCAATAAATATATTGTGGTTATGAGCCGTGCCTCCAGATTCTGTTTTTCGTCCACAAGCTTTGGTACGAGCAGTAAGTCTCCCAGTGGTATCCAGAGAGAGCATTTAAGTTTCCCTGGAATGTTTGCATAACTTCGAGAGTTCTTTTAGGAATCCAGGAATCGTCTAAAGTGCTAAGTTGCTGCCAGTCTCCGGAGTCCGTTGAATCTCCCGAGACCTTGGGATGACACCCGCAGAGGGCGTTTACCAGGTTTCAGCTCACGAGCGTGTGATGGCTCCTATTCCAAGGTCTCACTTTGGAAGATGTTACAGAAACGTCAGATTGCTGGGACGATCGCAAGCTCTGCACATCCAACTGACGGGAACGTCACTTGACAGGTAACGAGGTGCGTCCAAACTGTAGGCAGGAGGAAGGTAGCAATGCTCTCGCGCATTTCACCCTGAACTGTTATTGCTCCTGTTTTCCACCCACTGAGGATTCAGAACCTGCATTTGTCAGGCGTCAGATGACTAAATACTGTGGTGAGGATGTGTGAAACAGAGAGACGGACAGTGAGAGATCAGTCTCTAATGAAAATGAATTTATAATTTTATATATTTGTCATTAAGTGAAGCAGTGTGTAATATTATTTTCCCCTCTTCCAAAGGCATTTATTTGATGCTTTCCCTTGCAGTGTAATTTTCCACTGTGCATGTGTAGAACAAGCTGGTTTTGTGTCGTGTGGACTGAAAAATAACATTACTGCAGGAGTTTTACTAAAATTTGTTCATTTTTCTTTAAATTCATACAATCTGTATAAAATTCATTTCAAGATTTTCCATGTTAAAATACAACCAGAGGCAGCAATTTATTACAATTATACAGAGCATTTAAGCAGCCACTTCCTTTCCCAGTGCTCTAAAGAAATTAGTTTTGAATTAAATGAGCTCTCATATCCTAGGACTTGATTCGCTTTTCTACCAAATTATCTAAACAGAAATGTGTTTCATTTAGATTACGTCACTCAGATTGGAAAAAGGATCCAGTATTATAATTATTTCACCTTCGAACAAGGTGTTTGCAAGGCGTTGTAAATCCCGCCACCCTCAGTAACATTATTTGAGGAAGGGTATTGCTAACCAAACTGAATGATTTATAAAACTACATGTCAGGTGTTTTAAGCTTTGACATCAGAAAGTACAGACTCCACCAGTTTCATGATGTTGCAGTTAAGGTGCGCAATGTCAGACACCTGCTGGTTAGCTGTAGCCCCTCATCTGCAGGTGCCAACACCAAGCCAGGATCTTGGCACACGAGCCACTCCATCACGAAGGTAAAGGTGTAGTTTGGTAAGTGGATATGACTGATGCAAATCTCAGCTTCGCCCATTACATTTAATTCCTGTAGACTGGAAAACACTTAAAGCCAAATAATTAAATTGTTAATAAAAAATCCCATTTATCACCCCAGAAAAGCGCAGATCCCCTCTCGCACCCTTTACCTCACAACTTGGCGATTCTAAAAGTGCAACTCAAGCAGCAACTTCCGACTTGTCACAAAGTCAATTTCCACCGGTCAAAGAATTTCAATAGATTTGTTGCCTTGATGGAATGATTCAGATCGTTTTGGCTGCTTCCCTAATGGAAGCTCCAATGAATATCAACTGCATAGAACTAACATCTCTGTGTGAAGCTAAGTTTTATTCCGAGCGTCTGCCAATAGAGAGGAACGAAAAGGGTAGGAGGCATCTTAATAATGCATTATGCAAGTCACAAAAACTCCTTGCTGTAACCCTTTTGTCCCCCAAATTCATTAGGACAAACAGTGTGGGGAGGAGATGCAGACAACCTCACAGGGTAAGATTTAGCTCAGCTGCCAAAGTGCAGAATCTCTCCTTCGCTGCTCGAGTGTATATGTTGACTGTTGGCAAACAAACTGCATCCAGGATAGCTCTGCAGGTTCACTCTTGAGCAGTTAGTTCTGTGTGCGTGTGGCTATTAGTGCTCTCTCTACATGATGATTTTGGGTTCAGGCACAGAATCGGCGATGGACTTGTGAGGCAGGACATTGGCCCCGTTCAGGTAAAGCTCGTCTTTCACAATCACGTCCTCTCCCAGCACCGCAACATTCTCCATCCGCACCTGCAGACAGACACATTCAAATCATTGCTTCAGCCCAGACTGACGACGACAACTCATCAACAAAGTTCTAGTCAAGTACAGAGAGTGAAGCTAATACTATAATCTCTAAGCACAGAAAAGAAGGCATTCATTTAGCAAAGTGGAAAACCTGTAGAGTCTCATTACAAACATCATTTGGTATTTTATGAAACAAAATGTGATTGTAGATTTAAAAAAACTACAATAAATCTCAGTGCATTAAAATGAATGAACAGTTTGCAATAACATTGCCCAACAGTGGACTATGAAATGACTTGCACACGTGTGATGGTGACATCATCCTCTGAAGTATTACTTGGTTAAGCAGGATTCCATGATGACAGAGCTCTACTTACTTTAGTAACTAATAACTCAAAATAAAAGTGTAATGGTCATGACGTTTATTGGCCTCTGAAAATCACCCGGTGAATCTGGTAGATATAATACCCTTGAGTGATGATTGATACGTAAATCCAGCTGCATGTTTAGTAATGTTGTCCTCACTCACCCACTGCCCGACATCTGAACTCCAGCCGATAATGCAAGACTCCAGCCAGGAATGAGAGCGAATCCGTGAGCCCTTGAGAACTGTGCAGCGTTTTATCCGGACCCCGTCCTCTATCACCACCCCTGGGCCTATCGTCACGTTCGGACCGATAGAACACTTCTCTCCAATCCAGGCACTTGGGTCCTGAAAAAGGAAACACAACACACACTGAGTCAGTCCCCGTGTGGTCCCTCAAAACAGGTTAACAAAAGATGCAAACCCTGCTCCTCAAGATACATGTGAGCATGACTGAAACAAAATGATTAAGTTTAATAATAACAATCCTACTCTGGTTTCTCCAGGCAGTACACCCTACATCTTCTCTAACATAATTTGGTAGAATTTTAGAAAAGTATAGAGCTGCACTGCTTCCGGGTTGAAAGTCAGGTGCACTGTTTAAAAAATATTAAACGTGCACTGAGCAGTTCCCTCTCACTCCCTATCAGTGAGTACACAAACTGTCTGTATTCGACAGCCACATTGGGTGTGACTCCTTTCAGTGAACCTCTGGTGTCATCCAGTGGTCAGAGAGAGTACTGTTTGCAGTCGGTGATTTGGAGCGATGGACATTTCCTGAGATCAGGTTAGAAATTGCCACATAGCAGCAGCCCCCGCTGTAAAGTAGTGGTGAGAGCACAAACCATCTCCAAACAATGAAACATACTAAAATCTTACCACCAGCACATTTCCGACGATGCCAGGCCCTTGATGCAGCCTTTCTGGTGCTTTGTGTCGAAGAGATTGTAGGTACATGCACATCCCGGTCAGAAAGTCTTTGGGTTGGCCAATGTCCATCCAGAACCCTGAGGGGAAAAGCAAAGGAAATTACCTTCTAGGAAAAAAAAGTATTTACTTTCAATCACAGAATAACTTCCTATCTCGCCATTTCGGTCCAGTCGTAGAATTTGCAGCCCAGGAGGCCATTCAACTAGTTCCATTCTTACCCCAGAGCCCTGCAAATTTTTCCTTTTCAAGTACCAATCCAATTCCCTTTTGATAGCTACTATTGAATCTGCTTCCAACACCCTTTCAAGCAGTGCATTTCCACAACTCGCTGCATAAAAAAAATCATCTCCTATCGGGTTCTTTTGGCAATTATCCTAAACCTGTGTCCTCTGGTTTCTTACCTTGGAGTTCCATGGCGTACAGCTCGCCCTCCTGCGCCATCACAGGGAAAATCTCCTTCTCTATGGATGTTGGCCTCAGCTACAAAGATTGAAGATAGAGATGCAATTAATATCACCCAACCAAGGTTACCAAACACAGCTCATTCATTTCACTCAAATAGGAAGTGAATTTGCAAAAGGTGTTAATACCAACTGAACCTTGGGCGTTTAGCTTTCAAAAGGGAATGGGAGAGGTACTATGTTTCTATGATGTGCACATCTGTTTCCCAGGTAACCAAAATGGAGGAACCATCCAAAAGAAAGTGTAAAGAGTTTATAAATGTTCAGAGGTTATTTCTTTGACGGGGTGCTTTGGCTGTCCCCAAGTGCACTACAGTTGCTGGATGGGCACCTGAACCGGGGGGGGGGGTGGGGGGAAGGATGACTGGTAAGTACAGTCAAAAAGGTACATTTTGAAACATGTCTTGAAAGACCATAAGGGGAAGGGATGGTACAGTATATCTTCACCTAAACTACATTGTGCAAGATTCAAAAGCGCTTGAAGATTACAATAAACACAGAAAAGATGTCAGAGTGACTTTAATCTTTAAATGACTTACTTGGATTCTGTTGAGAATCGTGGGGCTGAAGATGTACATCCCTGCATTGATCTTGTTTGACACAAAGACTTGTGGCTTCTCTACAAATCGATGGATCCGCCCAATCTCAGCTTCGTAGATCACTACTCCATACTTGGATGGTTCCTCCACTTTGGTCACCTGGGGAACAGATCGGCACATCATAAAAACATAGGAACAGGAACATGCTATTCAGCCCCTCGAGCCTGTTCCACCATTCTGTAAGATCATAGCTGATTTGTACTTCAACTCCAATTACCCGCCCTTGCCCGTATCCCTTGATATCCTGACCTAACAAATATCTATCCACCTCAGCCTTGATCTATCTACCCCAGTCTCGAGTATATTAAATATACTGTTCCCATCCCCTCATTAAGAAAGCTTGATAATAATAATAATAATAATAATAATAATTGATGAGGTGCGTCTTCACTTTCCAGTGATCAGCTATCTCAGCATTGTCGAAGGAAGGTCTGTTTGTTTCAATGTGATGCTGGGCATTGGCCTTTACCAAAAAAATCATCATAGAAGTGAAGTGTTTTAAGAGCAGTAAACTACCAGTTGAAAACAATGCCCCTGTAACACCAAACAGTACTTACCACAATAGTACCCTCCTTCCCATGATGCTTGTGAAAGCGCACCATCTCCTCAAAGGGAAACTCACAGATCACATCACTGTTTAGCACAAAGAAAGGCTCAGAGTTACTGGTTAAGAGATCTCGAGCCAGAGCAAGTGGTCCAGCTGTGAACAGAATGAACACAAAGTGTCAAGTCTGAGTTCCCCCAAAATCTTCCCACTCAACGACTAACTCTGGAATAGATCAATGGTTGTTGGGACATCATCTTGCAGCCACCCGTGCCCATGTGAGCAGATTCACTCTCCCTATTACAGATTTACAATCATAGCTAGAAAATAAGACTGTCTCTCGCTCTGGCATCTATTCATTGCTCCCATCCATTCCTGTATTTTTATCTTCCTTAATGTTGCACATTGTAACATTTCAAAACACTTTAGAAAACATCAAAGTTGACCAAGAAAATTCCATAAGGCAATGTGGTGCTAAATAAAACACAGGTATTTTAACCCGGGTTACTGCTATTGTACAGTAGTAGAAAAAAACTATAATTATGGGTTAAATCAAAGAGCACACAAACTTTGAGGCTGAATCTGACCGGGATATTTTCAATGCTGCAAATAGACAGACAGACAAAGATGCAAGGATTTCTTACCTGTTCCTAAAGGCTCCTTTTCATGCGAGAGTGAAATACGAATACCAAGCTATTTGGAGACACACAAATATAGATGGTAAGAGTAGACATTACGGTAAACTAAATTTCTAATGTGTAAAGAATACTGATTTAGAGTAGAGTAGTTCCAGTGGAGAGGTAACTGCACCTCAGTAATGATAGGCCAAATGGCCTCTGTGCAACAAGTGTTCTATTTTGCTTTTACTTTGCAAATTAAAATTGTTTGTTATCAATTTGAATAACAATAATCCTTGCATTTGATACAGCACCTTATCGGGTCTTTGAGATGTCTCAAAGCGCTTCACAGATTATACTGTAAAGTGAATTGATTGTGTATTTTGTTATAAGTTACTAATAAATTGAGAAGGGAAAATTCTCAACTCGTTACCCGCTGCTCCTGTTCCTTCATTTTCTTCTCCAGCATCTCCGACATGTAGCTGACAGCGAGGATCACGTGCGTCACCCCAGCCTGTTCCAACACAGACACACACACAACAGGTTCAGTCTTCTGTAGAAATGAGGGGATGGGAAGGAACAGAGGCAAACACCTTCCTACTACAAACTAGATTTATGTAATCATAAAAATCACACAAGAGAAATATTGAAAATACTTTGACAAAAATGTATTTTAGTTGCTTTACATCTACTACAGTGATTATAGTACAATTGCCGGAAATTGAGCTTGCAAATTAAGTTAGTATTTTGTTAATTCTGTGGTCTCTTAGTCCAGGCCTGTCCTAAATTAAGGTGCCAACTGTACCTTTACTAAAGCCTCCACTTGATGCAGAAGAATGGGTTTGTTGCAGAAATCCACCAGAGGTTTGGGAACACTGAGTGTGAGCGGCCGCAGCCGCGTCCCATAGCCTCCAACTAGGATCAACGCTTTCATTGTTACCTGGAAAATAAAACCACGAACAGCTTCAGATCCTGCTAAATACCCCCAGATAAAGCGAAAAACATAGTGAAACACAGCCGAGCTATCCAGCGACAGCCCAACGATAACAACAACTCAAATTTATATAGCGCCCTTCACACAGGGCAGCATCTCAGAACGCTTAACATGGATGGCAGACAATACAATCTCAATTTCCACTCACATATGCAGCTTTGCATATGCACCTCAAACCAAACTAACTTCTACATACATACTTCTGTTTGGACAACTATTGTAAATTGTATGTTTGAATTTACTCCATAGAAACATATAAAGTTTGTTGTTTTTCTAGATACTGAGTTCCTCTAATATTGCAGAGGTCATGACCATCTTCACATGGCCAGAACATCAATGCAGTTAGAACCAAGCGTTGTTCTGGGTGTAATCTGTGCACACGTGGAAACTAACTCCATAGTTGCAGATGACGAGCACTTGCTGGCAAACCAACTGGAACAGAAATAAACCTTTTACTCCACAACAAATCCACAATGTACAACAGATATGATTACAAAACATCCCCATTTTCATCGACTGCCAACAGCTAACTGGACCTAAGGGCCTGTTTCTGAGCTGTACCTTTGATCACTCTACTAGAAATCTCTCCCTCAATCCCTCTATGATGTCCCCTCTTTTACTATCTTCAATTTAAACCCATGACATTTAGCTGTAATCCAGCTATATTATGTCAAATCACATCCTGAACTGCAGTTCTTTACTTCCAGCAATCAACAGAATAATATTGCTTTTGAAAGAACCAATGTCATGTGATACACACACCAAAGTGCCATCCTGAAGGTCACTGAACAGGAAATGAAACATTTAGTCTGTGTGGCTGACTGACTCCATTAAAATGAGGGATTTGTCAGCTATGCTGATTACTCTATAAAGCACCATTAACTGGTTTATTCCGGCACAGAAAAGATAGTCATTGGGTGGTCTACTTTTATGTTGGGTCTTTCGCTGTATTTATTATAAGACACAGTATTTTATAGCTAGAAAGTCAATAAACTTATAAAAGCAAGCAGAAATAAAAATGTGTGGAACGACACCAGGTAAGAAATCAATGTATTGCACTTTGAGGCTCTATGAAAACAAATCCATTCAGAATTTCAACCAAATGAGAATATGAAACATACAATTACATTACATGTGTGAAACTACACAAAGCTGTCATTCCAGATAATGCTTGCAACTCCCTCTGGTAAAATATTGAATGAACACCATGCTCAATGGGCCTTCTGTGCTGTAAATATCTACGATTCTATGATACTGAAAAAACTACATTAGATTTGCCCATATATGCACTCAAATATACAGTCTCAATACTACACAAAAAACTGTTACGTGTTTAGAGATGTTTAATTGATATATATCTCATATATATGTATATCAAATTAAATAATTCTTGTTATGAATCAAAGAATATGCTTTTATCAAACGAGTGAGCAGCAATAGAGAGCTCTTTAAATTAAAGCTGTAATGAACTACTAATTTATAAGATACTGTATACACTACAGCAGTTCAATTATTTAAGGAAAGTACACCCATCCACATAAAACAAATTTAATCTTGATAGTTTCCTCTCTTGATGTATCCATTCATCACATCAATTTGTGGTATGAGTTTAGGTATGAGTTGGGTAGGGACATTCACTATGACGTCCACTTCCTCGGCAGTCTACATTGATTTTCTTTGGCAGTCACTGACTAAAGTCTCACTGAACTTCTTGGTGCAACATACAATACTTTTTTTCTTGTTAACCTTTTCATAAGCATATGTACACACACACACACCACTCAGTCGGAAAGTATAACTCTGGAAACTGATTCAGCAAACTAATGATGCTTCATTCTGCTGACTGTGATAAGCTGGCAGCTGACCTGGGCTCCTGAATGATTCGGGTAAATTCTGATTATCAGTTCATTGATAAACCTATATAACCAAATAATTAGTTATGCTAGAATTATCCTGCAATGCTAGATCACTGTGCGTGAAACTGGAACAGTCCTGCAGTGCTCAAGACAACAGGAGACAAATATCGATATGCCAGTGGATAATCACTTTCATAAATCACTTCATAACACCACAACTTTCAGATGAAATATTGCAAATGACTGAGCAGCCAAAAGACCAAATCTATTTACAAACTTTGTTTCCCTCTATGATACCCCGAAAATCCACTGAAGTACCTTCATTAGCATTATCTTCACAATATTCTACAGTATCTATTGCTCTGCCAAATAGTTAGCCCCACCAGCACACCTGAAACTCAAACTTTGATACCAAAGGATTGATGTATTGTTATGGGAACAGACGGAGACGGATCAGCCCATTGAGCCTGGTCCATCAATTTGTTAGAATTTGATAGATCTTTTAATCCAAATGCCACATCCTTTCACCATATTCCTCTGAGACGCCGTCCGGGGTGGAGGGCGCTATATAAATCCAAGTTGTTGTTTTAATACCCAAGTATATGTCCATTTCTCATTTAAAGCATACATCTTGATTCAGCCTCTACAGCTTCCTGAGGGAGAGCACACCATGTCAAGCAATTCCGTGACAGGTGATTGCTAAGTGCAACTTCTGTTCGCTTTCAGTTTCAAAGCTGCCCCTGTTTGTTAAGGCAATGACAAGCAATCCCTCCATAACCCTTGAATTGGTCTATGAATGATAGACCATTGCCGAGACGGCAAACTCAAACTTGACATTCATAAACCATCATTTTAAATATTCAAGCACAAATATTCAATATTTTCCAGACTGCACATCCTCCTATATTGTACCTCACCTGAGTTGACATTAAGAATGGACAAGTCCAATCTATGGGTTGTTATCAGATGATTATTATCCCTGGATCACTCAAAGCAGACCTTAATTGAGCGCACACCCACGTCCTTCTCGGCAGGAAGCTTTTAAATAACCACCATTGACAGCTAAGGTTTCCCCTCCCACCCCTGAGCCGAGAGTACATTGTGGCACTCCCCACGGGCATTCGCTAATAATCACAGGTGACACAAGGCGTTAAAATGTGGAACTTCCTGAATTGCTTGACTCAGAACCGCACCAACCAACATTTTACCCGAAACCCTCCCCTTACCCCCAAAAGCTCAGAACACGTCGCCACGACCAACATCAATCATAACAATTCTTGCAGCTGTTTGTAGCGTCTTATCGCACTGCTGCAGCTGCGTAAACATACTGCGAAGCGCAGCCCCCCCCCCCCCACCCCGCGTATTTTGCGGACGGACGGACAAAACGGCAGCGGCCGAGCTGCGTGCAGCTCGACCTCCGGCAAACAGCGCGTGTGGACCGACCGAGCGGCCGCAAATGTTTTCTTGAAAGACGCAGGCCAAGACGGGAGTCCTGCGACACTGCGCGGTCTCGCTTGTCCTTCACGACGCCCGCAAAACCGCACAGTCCGTTCGCTCTGCGGTATATCCCGCGAAGCGCTTTCGAGACGCCTCGAAGGCGCGATTATTATTATTATTACTATTATTAGTCGATCAGTGACTTACCCAACGGTCGGTCTTGTTGCTTCTTGGCGTCCTCTGTGGGTCGGGGTTCCACTTAACTCTCCTCACTCACTGCTCTGTGTGTATGTGTGTGTGTGTGTGTGTCTGCACATTCCCCCACACAGACTGGGGGGGTGGGTGGGGTGACACGTGTGTGTGTGTGTGTGTGTGTGTGCGCTCTTTGCCTCTCTCTCTATGACACAATCTCTCGACAGCCTTCCAATCTGTCACCCATGGGCATTGGCTGCGCAGCGCAGTGCACGGTGTGTGTTTGTGTGTGTGTGTGTGGGGGGAGTGGTGTGTGTGGGTGTGTGGGTGTGTGTGGGTGGGGGGGTGTATGTGGGTGGGTGTGGGGTGTGTGGGTGGGTGTGGGGTGTGTGGGTGGGGGTGTGTATGTGTGGGGGGGTGTATGTGTGGGGGTGTGTGTGGGGGGTGGGGTGGGTGTGTGGGGGTGTGTGTGTGTGTATGAGGGTGTGTGTTTGGGGGTGTGTGTGGGGGTGTGTGTGGGTGGGGGTGTGGGTGGGTGTGGGTGTGTGTGTGGGGGTGTGTGTGGGGGGGTGGGGTGGGTGTGTGGGGGTGTGTGTGTGTGTATGAGGGTGTGTGTTTGGGGGTGTGTGTGGGGGTGTGTGTGGGGGTGTGTGTGGGGGGGGGGGTGTGTGTGTGTGGGGGTGTGTGTGGGTGGGGGTGTGTGTGGGTGTGTGTGTGGGGGGGGGTGTATGAGGGTGTGTGTGGGTGGGGGTGTGTGTGGGGGGGGAGGGTGTGGGTGTGGGGGGGTGTGTGTGGGGGTGTGTGTGTGGGGGGGGGAGGTGTGGGTGTGGGGGGTGTGTGTGGGGGGTTGTGTGTGGGGGTGTGTGTGTGTGGGGGGGGGGGGGGGGCACTGACTGTCGAACTGACCAACTGCCCGATTTCAAACCGCACGGGTGGGGCCCATCTCGCGCCGCCCGAGTCACGTGACACCGGTCGCCCGCCCCAGGTTTAACGAGGCGAAAATCGGTGGCGTCACAGCGGGACCCTGAGCCGCCCCCACACACACACACACAGACACAGCCCCACCGCCCAACACGGCTCCGCTCCAACTCGGCTCCTGAGGTGGTCCTGAGGCCCCGCAACACTGACAGCAAAGCGCCGACACCGTACGCGTCCGTCCGTCCGTCTCTCCCTCCTTTCCCCTCAGACCGGTGACGTGGCACATGCGCCTCGATGCGCTTGTAACGTGGCAACTGCCGGCCAATGGCGTCACGGCGGCTCCCCCCCCACCCCGCCTACCGTCGGTCCGTCAACCAATCAGGAGCTAGGTAGGGCGGGCAGTTGGGCGTCTCGGACTCCGCTCCACCAATCAGGCGCAAGATGATGGGAGGGGGGGCGGGGGGAGAGAAATAAGCCTGGCCAATCCGAGCGAGGGTCGCCGAGTCACGCCAACGATGGACTGGAGGAAAGATGGTCCCTTCGCCTCGGCGGAGCTGGGAGGACCAGCGCCCCCTGCAGACGCTGGGGTCTCATTACATTGCTCTTGTCAAGGCATTGAAACACTTGTGATAAAACTGGGGGATTGTTAGCCAAACATTGCATGGAATTTCCTTCCCCCCCCCCACCCCCCACCACCACCCCAACATTCACCCAAACATCTTATCTGAAGGACATTCAAATTTTCAAGACTTAAGAAAAACAAACGATACACGATCAGCAGACACTGACGCAGATTTAATAATAATAATAGATACAGAGCCTACAATCTATATCACAGGGAATTATGGCAAGTGTAGTGACTATCTGCGGGAAAGATGTGCACGGCAAGGCTCCACAAACAGCCAGGAAATGAATGACAATTTCTCTGGACAATTGTTGGCTGGCTTACTAGCTCCTGATTAATGCTTCATCCCCAGGAAAGTACCTCCTAAAACACAGCTCTTCGGCAGTTGTGTCCTGGAGTGTCAGCCTGGACTATCGGCTATCGGCTCAAGTCTTGAGGTGGGGCTTGAAGTGACCATAATGTTTGACAGAGGCAAAATTGGTATCAATCAAGCCAAGTTGTCATAACTCCGAAGCCTGCCTCAGTAATGCATAGTCTATCTTATTGTACACAACCCAATCTGTAGCGTCCTAAATAGGGCAAGTTTTTAAAGGCCTTGTACTCATTTGAGTGTGAAAACATTCCCCAGAGCAGAGTATTTAATTATACGTTTGATTCTAATAAAAGGGCTAAATCAGTTGGAAGATTCTAATGATTGAATGTCATCATTTTGTACATTTGCCTTTGCACATGGTAAGTACCAGCTGGTTAATGTTAATGTTAAGAGAGCAGTGAATTCTGATTAATTGATCTCAGTTGTCATGATGGCACCAGGATGATGTGAAGCCACAAGAGGAAGGGAATGTCTGTTCTGATTGATAATTGATCGTCTATTGATAATTGTTACTAACGTGGATTAACTTATCCAACGTAAATCAGCGTTCCTCTTGGACATGTGTGCCCACTGGACTTCAGACCAAACTCTGCAGGTATTTCAGTAGTGCCTGATTCCACTCTTCAGGTCTGTCAAGGTAGCAGGCATGCCCGGCCCCCTTCATCACCATCACTTTGTGATTGGCCAGATTTTTGAGAGAATCGAACGACTGCTTTCCCAGTTGAGCATCCTGATCACCATAAACTATGAGAGACGGAACCTGTTGAAAAGATAAGACACGAATCAGTTCAGAAGCTACATTGCCACTAGATTAGGGCAGATCTGCCGACAGCCAGCTACTCTGGGTCCACTTGTAGCCAGGATCTTTCACTTCGCAAAATATACTGTGAAGTAAATTAACTATATATTTTGTAGGCAAAACACGGCAGCTAATTGCGCACAGCAGTGTCCCACAAAGACGTTGTGTATTGAGTGACCAAATTATTATTAATTTTTTTTAAAGCAATTATTACCCCCTGAAAAGAAACCCACCAATCGACTAACAACCGGGTTCCTACTTACTGCTAGGTAAACAGAGGCATGTGGACTAAGGAAACTTGCCCAACCCTGCCCGGGAATCAAACCAGGTCCTCTCTCTTGCAAGGCGAGTGCTCTCACCACTGAGCTACAAGATTCCACAAATTGGTAGGCTTAATTAAATAATATTTTAAGTAATATTTCTATGAAACTGAAACACAGCAATCCAAACACACCAGTCAATAAGACAGTCAGCATACCTGCAGACTAGCATACTGTTCAGGAGTGAACATATTGGTACAGATGGGAGCCACGGGGATAAATGCTTTCACCATACTCGGGTATTCAAAAACGAATGGCAACGAATACATCCCACTCATTGATGGGCTAATTAAAACCACTTGCTCCAGGTGCAAAGCTTCACAAACTTCCTTTAGGAAACTTGCAGGAACGAGTTCCCCCACCTTGTCTGTGGTTGTGGTCATTTTGGATTCTCCATAACCTAATCAGAAAGAGACACCGTGGAAAGAAAGGCCAGTTAGATTCCCTATACCATATACGTTGCCGTGGACAACAACAATAAATTCACCTCATAAAACGCAAAACACACTGTATAAATTCTGATAGGGCCATTTATTTTCCTATTCCAAGTCAATGGAAGCAGAATGCCCACTACTTAATAATAATCCTTGCATTTGATATAGCGCTTTTTCACATTTTCGAGACATCTCAAAGCGCTTCACAGATTATACTGTAAAGTGAATTGACTTGAAAAAAAATCTTGCGGGCAAAACGTTCCTTTTTTCCCCCAAGTGGTCATCTAAAAAATCTGGCAGCCCTCACCTGGTAAATCAATGGCCACTGCATGGTAGCCATTGTCTGCCAACACTTCGAGGGTTTTAATTGTGAACCAATTTGCGGAGGAAAAGCGAATGCCATGAAGCAGTAGGACGGAGAGTTTAGGAGGTTGTTCTTTAGGTGCGGTCAGGCGGATAAACAGTCTTTTTCCTGAGACCTCTATTGAGTTTTCCTTGATTGGAAATTCATCCATGGTTCCCAGAAGTTACCGAAGTTCTGCTGTTGAAGCAAAGGTCGATTTAAGAGATCGAACAGTCGTGGATTGAGTGAATGCATTATTATTTTTTAAAAAGGGATTATAACCCCTGGAAAAGAGTTCCGCCAATCGACTAACAACCGGGGTCCTACTTACTGCTAGGTGTGTGCGTGGAGTAAGGAAGCTTGCCTAAGGTTTCGCACTGCCAGGTAATTGAACCCGGGTCCTCTCATTTGCCTGGCCAGCAAGCTAACCACTGAGCTATTCCATGTTAATAACAAGATAAGATAAAGAGAGAGAGAGAGACAGACACATGATCTGATCAGCACAAGTTCTGATAAAGGGTCACATCTGACACCATTAACTCTTTCAGTGGTGCCCACTGACCCGCTGCACAATATTCAAGCACTGTTGATTTCATTTTCTTTTCTTTTGATCTTTGCATTCCATTAGTATTTGCTTTAAGTGGAATCTAAAGAAATCTCTCTCCCTCTCTCTCTATATATATATAAAAAAAAACTAAAATGGGTTCCATGCAGCCAAAAAAAAACTCAACTCTGAAAACAAAAACAGCAAATGATTGCCATGAAAACATTCCAACAGCAGAACCAGGAAGTCTGTGTGTTTCTCTCTCTCTCTCTTTCTCTATCTCCCCAGTGGTTTTCTCTCTCCCTATCCCTCTCTCCATCTCCTCTCAGCCCCCCCCCCCACCCCCCCAAAATAAGGGCAATACAATTTGCACAGCTTATTCTGTAATGGAATGGAATGACACTTAAAAGCAACCCAGACCTTTCCGAGCGAGCGAGTGAGTGGAGTTGGGTTGAATGATCCTTTCGCTTTGCACCAGGATCTCAGAGGAACAGGCGTCAGACCCGATGGACCCCACTCCTGACTGCCTTCTGCTGGTCGGGACTCGCCACTGGAAGACAGAAGAACCCCCAAACAGCAACGTGTTCATCAGCCACAGCAATCACAGCAAACCCACCCACCCACCCCCATCGAGGCGAGGGGCTGCACATGTTCAGGGCTGATCTGCTAACTGGGACAACAGGGGGCGCGTACACAAAGGCAGATGACGGGGCTATCCTGATGTCTATGCGTGGGGCAAGGACTGAGGAGAGCAATAGTGACCAGGACTGACTTGTGTGTGTGCTTTGGCTTTGCTTTGGCCAAACAACACACACGCACTCCTCCTGGCTGGACTGTGCCCCTCTCTTGAGAGCAGGTTGTGTGCAGTGGCTGTCACCAATGTGCTGCAAAGCATATTCCCTTAATGGTTATATACTTGGGATTTTTTTTTAAAAAATGATGATTTGGCCACTCAATCCACGACTGTTTGCGTGTGTGTGTTTTTTTTTAAATGTCTCAACAGACAACCGAGACAGAGCGCCACGCTGATCGCAGAAGCCAGCAAGAATCGTTTCGATAGAGGAGACGGGGGAGAAGACCTCAAACGTACACGGTTGTCACCCCAATGCCCCCCACTGAAACGTGTCTCCGCGTTCATTTCAGGCAAATGCTGCAGTTATTTTTCACCATCAATATCCCACAACAACAACTTGTATTTATATAGCGCCCCTTACACAGGGTAGCGTCCCAGAGCGCTTGACAGTGGCGGGAGCCAGGGCACGAACAGAGAGAGACGTCAAATTAACTTGATTTGTGGGGGCAAATTTGGATTTGGCAGGAATATTGACCAGAGTGTTAACGGTAGGTTCTGACTTGGGTGCGATGCAAGTGCCTGTCCATACCTGAAGAGTTGCACTCTCTGGAATTCCATCCCGCAGTTCATCCACCTTGTCCCCTCCCTCGCCTCCTTCAAGACCCATCTCAAGACCCTCCTCTTTGATGTCAATCACCCTGCGTCCCTCCCTGCCCTCCACCCTCCCCAATCCTGACCTCCAGCTCGGGTCCGAAACTCTTGACTGTCCAGCGCCTTGGGACGTCCTCCTGACGTGAAAGGCGTTATACACGTCATTTTGTTGTTGTTGTTGAAACATGGCCACTGTGACTAGCTCCATCTGTGCTTATGCTGTCATTAATCATCCAGGCTATGCCTATTACCATCACCCTATGAAGATTTCATGTAATTAGTTCCAAACTTGGTGCCTCTAAATGTTTGGAAGTTAAATTGCAGTTTAATTGCGTCCAACTGCAATGCTGGTGGAGGAATCTTAACTATAAAGAGCCTGGATCCATAACCCTGTGATGAGCACTGTGAGAGTGCTACCAACAAAGCCAGGCTGACAATAAAACAAAAATACAATACTGATATTTTATTTAAGTATTTATATACACGTTTTAGCACTGAGCCAAGCACCAAGAAAGTCCCAGGTCCAATCCTTGGTTTGTGGAGATAGTTAATCCCAGGTAGTACGGTATAGGGAGTTACAGTTAGTCTCCATGTCGCTTGGTGAGACAGAACAGCCAATGTTCTTACTTCTGTTTATTGACCCTTACTCAAAATCAACATGCTTGAAGCATCCTTGAGTTAGATGTCATTCTGGGATGATTTTCAGCTATTTTCATACATTTTGTAGATACTATTAGATGAAAAAAAACACCAGAAAAGGCTTTTTGACAACAAATTCATCCTTTTCAACCAGTTCACTTAAGAGAATAAAAAGTACATGTTGTAGCCAAACACTGGCACTGCATAAACTTCCAGACAGATGCAAGGAAAAGTGCACCTGGTCACTTATTATACACTGATCTTATCTCAATTAGGACCCTAACAAAAATATTTCCATTCCATCATTCTGGGCTGAATTTATAATAATGCTTGCATTTGATACAGTGCCTTATTATGTCTTTGAAACTTCTCAAAGCACTTCAGAGGATATACTGTAAAGTGTATTGACTGTATAGTTTGTGGGTGAAACCCACACAGGAGTGTCCCACAAACAGTTGTGGATTGAGCGACCAGATTATTATTTTTTTGAAAGTATTACCCCCATAAAAGCAATCCACCAATCAACTAACAACTGGGTCCCTACTTACTGCAATGTAAATAGAGTCTTGTGGAGTAAGGAAACTTGCCCAACGTTTTGCTCTGCCCAGGAATCGACCCCACATCCTCTCGCTTGCGAGGCGAGTGTTCTAACCACTGAGCTACACGACTCCATCTAATAGACACCTGAATTTAAATTTAGGCCCAGAGATGGAAGGACAGACAGTGTTCAAGGAAACTACACACTAAGGTTCTAGGTTCATATATTCTTTACTCACTGAACGAAAGAGTCCTGCAGCGTTTCTTGAAACTAACTATTTTTAAAAGCTCGTCTCTTTGCTAAATGGTCTGCTCCAAACATTTTGACCAATCTTTCCTTCACATTCTGCTCTTCACTCTCAAGATCAAGGTCATCTTGATGGGTCCAGATAGGATGGCCATCTGGTCGGTGACCAGTCGCCATGAAATGCATCGTAGCCACCAGATCTCCATTATTCTTCAGTAACACTTGAGTGGCTCCACAGAGATCCAGGTGGTACTCTTGCCTCAATGTTTCAATGGCTTTAACTGCAGAATCCACTTCGTTCTGGGAGGGTGTGGGGCTGAAAGAGTTGGCATCTACTTGTGTTTGCGATTCCGATTCTGACTGTGCATTGTTTATTATGAATTCTGCCAGAGTTCCTGTCTTCTTTGGAAGGTTGTTCGCCCTTTGCTGCTGTGGGAGGGTTTCAGTCTCTATCTGCTGCTGATCTACTTCAGTTATTTGCAGCTCAGGACTTTCTTCATCCTACGATAGGCAACAAATAAATGCAAAAATATTGAAAAACAGTCCAAGAATAAACAAGTGACCAATCTCTATATTATTGGGTACTTGATTTGCCCTATTCATTGCTCTTTAAAATAATCCATTCTGTCCTCAGATATAATAAAATAATATTAAATAATAACCCTTGCATTTGATGTAGCGCTTTTCACGTCTTATCGACGTCTCAAAGCGCTTCACAGAACAAACTGTAAAGTGAATTGACCGTATATCTGTGGGCGAGATCTAGATATCTGAGAGGCAACACAAGTTCGTCCATGCAACAGCAAACAATGCGGCCGCGAACCGCTTCCCCCCCTGAAACCCAGTGTATTAGTTTTTTTTTTTAAAAAAGTTGAAATATTTTGAATTTGCTTCAGCTCCAATTACATTGATCCCGTTTTAATTTTTGTTCGAAAAAAAATAAAGAGAGAGAGAGAGAGAGAGGGGGGGCAAAGCCGGTTTTCTGGTCCTTCTTCGGCATTCTTACTGTTGTTTTTTTCCAGGTCCCCGACGAGGAAAGGTTAGGCTCAGCTGAGACTTGCTCCGGTAGTCCAGGGGGGCTGGGGGGGGGGTCTTGCTCGCCCCACACACACTCACCGACGTTGAGTAACGGCCGCTTGGGGCTGCGTATCTGGGGGCGGGGGGGGGGGGACGACCCGAAGCCCAGCACACAGGGGAGGCTGGGGGACCCTGGCGAGGCCACACTGAGTGGGGGGAAGATATGGGGGGGAAGAAGATAGGGGGGGGGGAAGAAGATATGGGGGGGAAGAAGATATGGGGGGGGAGAAGATATGGGGGGGAGAAGATATGGGGGGGAAGAAGATATGGGGGGAAGAAGATATGGGGGGGAAGAAGATATGGGGGGGAAGAAGATATGGGGGGGAAGAAGATATGGGGGGGAAGAAGATACGGGGGGGAGAAGATACGGGGGGAGAAGATACGGGGGGGAGAAGATATGGGGGGAAGAAGACATGGGGGGGAAGAAGACATGGGGGGAAGAAGACATGGGGGGGAGAAGATATGGGGGGGACGTCATCATCGACTCAAACCGCGATCCTGACCCTCGGGCCCTCCCTCCCCCCCTTACCTCAAACTCCCTGATAGCAATCGGGAAAATGTTGAAGCACTCGTCCTCCGGACCGGCCTGAGCCTGAGCCTGAGCCTGAGCCTGAGGCTGGGGCTGGGCCCGGGGCTGAGCCTGAGCCTGAGCCGGGGGCTGGGCCCGGGGCTGGGCCGAGTGACCGGCGCCGCCGCGCTCCCCTTTACCGTCTTTGTGCCGTGCGGGAACGGCAGACATTTTACCTGCGGGGGGGGACAACACATCATCATCATATATCTATATATATATATATCTATATCTATACCCAAATAAATGAATATATAGAAATGTAGGAAATCCTCGCCTTTGCCACAGCGCCTTCGAGACGCCTCAAAGCGCTTCGCGGGCGAAAAGCAGCCGAGCGTCCCCCGGCCCTCCCCACCGCCCCCACCGGCCCCACCGCCCCCCCACCGGCCCTCCCCGCCGCCCCCAGACCCCCACCGGCCCCACCGCCCCCCCACCGGCCCTCCCCGGCCGCCCCCCAGACCCCCCCCCACCGGCCCTCCCCCCGCCGCCCCCCCAGGCCCCCCCCGCCGCCCACCCGTCTTCACCTCGGCCCTCTTGTTTTTCCCGAGGAAGGCGCTTCGAGCTTTCAGACGGGGAAAAGGCGCCACGACGGCGGGGGCGAGGATTACGTCGGCGTCCCGCGCGGAAGCGCTTCGCGGGGCCTCGAAAGGCCCCGGTGAGAGGACTCTCGCGGTCCGGGCCTTACCTGGCTGGGCGGCCGGCGGCCCCGGGCCCCCGTTCGGGCTGGCTGGGTCGGCCCTGTCCGGCGGCGGCGGCGGCGGCAGCAGCCTGACCGGGGCGGGGATGACGGTGCGGCTGTCGAGCTGGTAGTCCCGCTCGCGGCCCCTCAGGTGGCGCAGGTAACGGTCCCTCATGGACTGCCAGGTGTGGCCGGTCAGCGCCAGGCGCTCGAGGTGGCGCCAGAACGCGTTGCCCAGCAACGAGCCGCGGCCGCGCGCGGCCCGGCCGCCGTGGTCGCGCACGTACATCAGGAGCGTGACGTCTTCGGCGCGCGTGTAGGCGCTCCGGCCGCCGCCGACGCGCGTGGCCGGATCGGGGTCACGTGACCCCGCCCCCGCCGCCGCCGCCGCGGGCGGTTGGTCTCGCGGCCGCTCGCCGCGCGGGGCCGGGTCCCGGTCCCGGGAGGCCGCCGGCGGCCGCGGGCCTGCCGGCCGCTCGCGGTAGTCTTCGACGTCCAAGCGCTCGTTGCGCTCCACGCAGTCCAGCACGTAGCGCGCCGCCACGTGACCCTTCAGCGGCGGCCCCGGCCCGAGCTCGGCCAGCAGGAGGGCGCCGGGCGCCTGCAGGCCGCACATCACCCCGCCGCCGTGCGTCACCAGCGGCAGCAGCACGGCCTTGGTGGAGCTGGGTCGCATGTAGAAGCGCAGCGGGGCCCCGCTGTCGTCCAGGAACAGGGTCCTGGAGTGGGTGAAGGTGGTGGTGGTGGCGGCGGAGGAGGAGGTGGGTCCGGCCGTTGCCGCCATTTTCGCGGTTCAAATCGGCGGCGCGCGCCGCCGCCGCCCCCGCGGCTCTCTGTGAGTGACGGAGCCCCGGCCCCGCCCCCGCGGCTCTCTGTGAGTGACGGAGCTCCGGCCCCGCCCCCGCGGCTCTCTGTGAGTGACGGAGCCCCGGCCCCGCCCCCGCGGCTCTCTGTGAGTGACGGAGCCCCGGCCCCGCCCCCGCGGCTCTCTGAGTGACGGAGCCCCGCCCCCGTCGCTGGCAGGGCTTGTCAATCACACGGCAAGCCACGCCCACCCCCGCCCGATGGCGACCCCATTGGGCGGTTTCACGCCCAACTGGGGCGGGTTTGGTGGTGGAGGTGGTGGTGGTGAGGGTGGAAATGACGATGATCACAGCCTGCCCTGGGGAGTGTAGTGACTGTGCGTGCTGCGGGGGCGGCACGGGGCTTAAGGCTATCCAAACCCGCCCAAGAGTCCGCCGCCGCGTTCGCCCACAAATATGCAGTCACTTCACTTTACAGTACGTTCTGTGAAGCGCTTTGGGACGTCGAGAAGACGTGAAAAGCGCTCTATCAAATGCGAGGATTATTGTAAGCCAAAGGCACAATGCTGCAGATGCTGGAAATCTGCAAGAGAAACGGAATTAGCCGGGAACACTCAGCAGGTCGGGCGCAGCATCTATGGAGAGGGGAGAGTGTAACAGTGTGAATACGGGGGGTTACCGCACCAAGAGAGCAGTGTTACCCATATCCCTCGGGGGTTCTCCTCAAAGATCATCGACCTGAAACGTTAACCCACTTTCTCCGTAGACGCTGCGTGGCCTCCTGAGTGTTCCCAGCGACTTCTGTTTTTATGTGAAAGGTTATTATGTACGCGACCAGCGATGGAAATTTCCCTGCGTACAGAATGAAATTTGCACCATCATCATCAATGCTTTGGACCTGCTCAGACCTGCCTGGCTCAGGAATTGGACCACTGAAACAACCACATTTTCAGTGATTCCGTTGCCAATCACAATACCTTGGAGGTAGCTGCTCCCAAGGAAGATACGTTTATGTTTGTTGTGATCATAATAATAAATGCTCATTTGCCTTTCCTTGCCTACATTTGTGTCTCAGTAACCCCACTTTGTCTCCTCCAATGGCTTCTCTTGCTCTCACAGTCACATGCAGTGTTCCTCAGGCCTCGATCCCTAGTGTTGATCATCTCCAGACTCAATTCCAAGAGATGATGAGCCACTCCTAGGACCAAAGGAACAGGAATAGGCCATTCAGCCCTTTCGAGCCTGTTCTACCATTCTTTACACTCTTTGGTACTCCATCCCACAGTCCCTTTGCCTCACTCCCTCATCTTCAAGGCCTGTCTCAAGATCCTCCTCTTCGACCGCGCCTTCGTCCACCCTCCTACCCCCACGCTCACTGCTCTCCAATCTTCCTGAACCCAACCCCCTGCTCAGGTCCAAATCCCTGACTGTCCAGTGCCTCAGGATGTCCTCCCGACATGAAAGATGCCGTGTAAATGTAATTTGTTATTGAGCCGGTACAGAGACAGGACTGGGTTAAGCTGTGACATTCCTGTGGTTCAACAGTCTGATAATACCTATCTGGACCCTGATAAAAGGTCAAATGGGCATGTTACCAGAGTGCTGCTTTGCATGTACAGTAAATATAAGTTTACCTCAACATAAATCACTATCGTTCTTGGAAGAGGAGGTCAGAAAATTGTGGGACACATAAAGCGGAAGGATGGGCCATGTGAACAATTTTTTTAAAAGAACAATTTGCAGTTAGTCTACCCTCTTAACTCTCTTGTTGAAATGCAGTGTGTGTGTACGTTAAGTTAATGAATGTATTGGAGACAAACATTAGACGAATGCCTCAAAGGACTGACGTATAATTTCTGCTGCTGACCTTCGTAGAAAGACAGTTCAGAACAGCAGTGTTAAAGCGTCCCATCGGGTCAGAGAGAGTCAAATGATCAGCTCCAGAAAATGAGGCCACTTCATATCTTTGTGTTTATACTAAGCAGTGAACTCGCGGCTGGTAAGTAAAATGAAGCAAACTACGATGGAAGTCAGCAGATAAATCGGAGTCCTGTAGCATGGAGGTTAGAGTGTTTGCCTCGCAAGCAAGAAGACCTGGGTTTGATTCCCGGGCAGAGAAAAACGTTGGGCAAATGTCCTTACTCCACACACACCTCTGTTTACCAGCTGTAAGTAGGATCCCGGTTGTTAGTCGATTGGCGGATCGCTTTTCCGGGGGTAATAATCCCTTCCAAAAAAAGAGGGAAAAAAAATCAATCACAGTCGTAGTCACTCAATCTACGACTGTTTGTGGGGACACTGCCGTGCGCAATTGGCTGCCACATTTCACCCGCAAAAAAATATACAGTCAATTCACTTGACAGTACATTTTGTGAAGCTCTTTGAGTCGTCTCGAAATGTCGTTTCGCTCTGCCCGGGAATCGAACCCAGGTCCTCTCGCTTGCGAGGCGAGTGCTCTAACCACTGAGCTACAGGACTCCAGATGAGAAGAGATCGTCTTCCCTAAAGGAGTGATTCCGTGGAATAGACTGGTAACAAAGCAGTTGATGTTGGTTCCATTAACATCTGTAAAAAAAAAATCATTCCGGTAGCTGGTACACTCAACTGTGTCTGTCGGGAAATAATATTTGTACAATAGGTGACCCTATTGACACAACCTTGACTGTATAACACTCTTGCTGGAGATGATTTTCATGTGGCATCAAAGAATTCACCACGATAGAATTACTATGAAATGAGATGGCTGGTCATTTTCCAGGACAGAGAAGCCCTCTCAATGATTATCACCGGTCCAGAGGAGTGCAACTGCAGACGTTACATCGGTCACCAGAAGGGCATGTTTCCGGTGCGGAAGAATGTGCCATCCGGTGTACTGATGATCTCCGATGCAGGTAATACGTGATCTCATACCTCTTTTTTTTTAATCAATAAATCTGGAAATGTTTCTCGTCTCTCCTCCTGAAGTCACCACTACACAGTGATGGATGGCTTCACAGCTGTCTGTTATCCTACAGAACTGCAACTCTTTCAATTGGCCATTCATTTGTGGGTAAATGAATCTAGGCACAACAACAATAATAATAATAAATGAATTACTTCAATCCACGACTGTTTGTGGGATGCTGCTGTATGCAATTGGCTACTGCCTTTCACCCACAAATATACAGTCAATTCTCTTTTCACAGTATATTCTGTGAAGCGCTTTGAGACGTCTTGAAGTTGTGAAAAGGCGCTGTATCAAATGCAAGGATTATTATTATTATTGTTATCACAAGCAAGCTCAATCCTGAACTCACCTAACATCACAAGTGCCAGAAAGAGGGCATGAGATAGTGGTTAGGTGCTGGAATACTATTTGAGACCCTCTCAAGACCCTCCTCTTCGACTGCGCCTTCGGATCACCTTCTTACCCCTACTCACTCCGCCCGCCACCCCTCCTGATCCCAACCACCAACTAGGTTGTGGATCCCTGACTGTCCAGCGCCTTGGGACATCCTCTTGATGTGAAGGGCACTGTGTGAATGTAATTTATTGTTGTTGTTGTATGGCTGGTTTCCAATTTGGGTCATGACGTGTCCAACTGAGCCATTAGAGGTATCTTTTTTAAGATACATTCCAGTCACAGCCACATAATCCAGATATATACACATTTCTCAAATTGTCATTACTAATTTAAGAATCTTTTACTTGATGGGTGTCTATTTTTTCAGAATGCACAATTCCAATTTGATGATATATATATATATATATGTGTGTGTCCAAGGCTACAAATGTGATTTTCTTCATCCAGAGATTAATATCAGGATTGTTTTTTTTTAAAAGTTAACAACCACAAATTCTGAATCGTGTTTGTCTATCTTAATTTCACCAAGGATTACATCCTTGAAAATATTCTCTTGACTCCTCTCTTTCTTTCAATGTTTAATCACTTAGAGCTTTCAACTACAACCTGCAGGCTAAGGATTGCCAAATTCTGAGCAGTACCAGTCAGATGGAAGGCACTGAGCGACACAAGCATATTCATATTGACCTATACGAAAAGAAAGGTATGTTCGTTCAGGAAAAATGGTTCCTGGTTAGCCTTCTCACCAAAGTTGGTTTCATTTTGAGCCTGTAGCTGTAGCTTAGTGGTTGTGGAGTCCTGCAGCTCAGTGGTTAGAGCACCCGCCTCGCAAGCGAGAGGACCCGGGTTCGATTCCAGGGCAAAATGTTGAACATTTTCCCTACTCCACTCACATGCCTCTGTTTACCCAGCAGTGAGTAGGAGCCCGTTTTTTTAGTAGGAACCATTTGAGGTGGTTGCATGATCTGATTCCTGTGTACTTCCACCTCCATCCACCCTCTGTCTGTCCTTGTTCACAATTGTGTGTCCGTTTCAATTCACATCTCAATTCCACATTGTGTGCTCTTGCCTTTCCAGCTTATGTGCGAGAATGTATTGTGAACAACGGTGCCACATACAGGGGAACTGTGTCCGTAACTCAGAGCGGAAAGACTTGTCAAGAATGGATATCCAATGTACCCCACGAGCACAGGTGAGAGGAGCATTCCATGTCTCACGTTTCATTCTTCTGAATTCTAGCTTTATATAAAGAGGAAATATTATAACTAATACAGTGATCTGAGTAATTTCAATCGATCAATCAATCAGTTAATCAATAATTAAAAATAATAACTTGGTCACTCAATCCATGACTGTTTGTGGGTTGCTGCTCTGCGCAATTGTCTGCTGCATTTCGCCCACTGATTTCACAGTCAATCCACTTTACGGTGTATTCTGTGAAGCGCTCGGAAGTCTTAATAGACAAATGCAAGGATTATTAATTATCACTATTATTATCATGTCTGAATCTCAATGCACATTAAAATAGGAATTATATTGGGTCTGAAGTCTCTCTGAATCCACTGACAGGTATTTGCCAATTAAGTTTCCTGAGAAAGGCCTGGATATGAATTACTGTCGGAACCCTGACAACGATGTTAATGGACCCTGGTGTTATACTACAGACTGGACCACAAGAATAGAGGCCTGCGGCATCAAGAGATGTGAAAATGGTAAAGCAACATGTAGAGATTGCAATGCCTTTGATGGAATGTCGAACATAAGTCCTGTAGCTCAGCGGTTAGAGCACTCGCCTCGCAAGCGAGAGACCTGGGTTTGATTCCCGGCAGGGCAAAACATTGGGCAAGTTTGCTTACTCCACATGCCTCTGTTAACATAGCAGTAAGTAGGAACTCGGTGGTTAGTCAATTGGTGGATTGCTTTTCCGCCAGCAATATTCCTTCAAAAAAAAAAAATTTGGTCACTCAATCCACGACTGTCTGTGGGACACTGCCGTGCGCCATTTCGTCCACAAGTACAGTCAATTTACTTTACAGTATATTCTGTGAAGCGCTTTGAGACATCTCGAAGATGTGATAAGGTGCTGTATCAAATGCAAGGATTATTATTATTATTTATTATAGGAGTTTGCTGGCGAAAGAAGACTAAGGTCCTTCCAGTTCGTGTTGCACCATTCTGGCAGTCACTTGCACATGTCATGTCCTGAATTACAGGGTGACCAAAAAGTCTTATTTTTCAGCTCCCCTATTGTCTAAAAAAAATCATCATTTCTTTAAGGCTTATTAGACATAGTAAAGGTATCACAACATTTTGTACATACTGTATCCTACGATATTATTTCCTAAAAGAAAAGAGGACTACAGATTACTCATCAACTGTATCCCGAAATATTATTTTCTAAAAGAAATCGGGACTAATTTGCTTGTGAAAGAATCAACGCTTTTCACTTCCACGTTCTCCCCAGGGAGCCGGTTCCACATATTTACTGCCCACTCACTGAAATAGTGTTTCATATCTACAGTCTTGTAGCTACAATGAAGGAACCTGCACCAAATAGCCCTGTGGAAGACAGAGACCCAATATCCTCCAGTGACTTACATCAGGCCCCACTTACCATCTGCCACTTCAACAGTGGGTTTAGCTCCCTTAGCAGTTGTTGTAGTGTAGATCCCTACCTGCCCTGTAGCTTACTGGTTAGAGCACTCGCTCTGCAAGTGAGATATAAGCCGCTATACCAATTGCAAGGATTATTATTATGTCCTTGTTCACACCTCTTCCAGTCTCATCACCATCCATTCATTGTATTATTACAGCCACTCACCATATTGTGTGATCACAGTACAGGACATTGAGTTTCTGAGGCATCTCTGTGCCTTAGAAGAACAGTGAGACGTGATTTCAAATGGACTGTGCAGAGCGAACGCTTTAAAATCAGCTCCAGCACGTTGCAACCTGTTCCGGATCAATATTTGCAGAAGCTCTTGTGATCGGAGAGATGCATTCCCTGCTGGATAGAGAATGGCTGGGAAATTGGGGGTGGGGGGGAGAACAGCGAAAAAGAACGGTAGGACCTGCAATGATTAACAGGAAATGTATGTCTACCTTTACCAAGAGGGGAACAAAGTCATTATTACTTGTCAGGAAATTGGATGACTACGGGAGCTCTCGATTGCGTAACTGACAATCATATGTTTTTCTCAGATATTTGCGTCTTGTGCAATGGTGAGGATTACAATGGATTTGTCGACCGTACAGAGTCTGGGAGAGAATGCCAGCGCTGGGATCTCAACTCGCCTCACAGACATAACTATCAACCAGACAAGTACTTTACTTTATTGTGTGGAGTCCTGTCGCATATTGGTTAGAAAAGAGCGCTCGCCTCGCAAGCGAGAGGACCTGGGTTCGATTCCTGGCCAGGCACGTCAGGGCGAAAGGTTGGGCAAGTTTCCTTACTCAGCACGTCTCTGCTTATCCAGCAGTCAGTAGGAACCCACTTGTTATTTGATTGGCGGATCTCCTTTCCAGGGGGTAACAACACCTTCAAAATCAAATAAATAAATGATAAATCGGTCACTCAATCCACGACTGTTTGTGGGGACTCTGCTGTGAGCAATTGGCTGCCGTGTTTGGCCTACAAAAATATACAGTCGATTCACTTTACAGTACGTTGTGTGAAGCGCTTTGAGGCTTCTCGAAGTCGTGATGAGATTAAGACAAATGAGTCATTTCCTGGACGGATTGAAAACGCCGCTGGTTAGTGCTACTACTACTATTTCAAATGTTAATTAGTTTTTTGATGGATGTTTGATGGATCCAGGTACCGTGACATGAATCTGGACGATAATTACTGCCGTAACCCGGATGGCTCTCCTCAGCCCTGGTGTTTCACCACTGACCCAAACGTGGAGCGGGAATTCTGCAACATACAGAGATGTGGTAAGTCTAGTGAGAAGAAGGATGGTTTAGAATAACATTTTATCTTACAGTGTATTTAAAAGTTATTTACTATGAGACACAATACAAGTCAACTACAAAGCCAACAACCAACAATGTATTCTCTGTCAATGCAAATAATAATCCATAAGAATAAGAATAATAATCCTGGCATTTGACACAGCGCCTTATCACGTCTTCGAAACGTCTCAAAGCGCTTCACAGAACATACTGTAAAGTGTAGAGACTGTATATTTGGCGGGCGAAACGTGGCAAACAATTATGCACAGCGGCGTCCCACAATCAGTCGTAGATTGCGTGACAAATATATATATTTTTTCTTCTGATAAAAAGAGGGAAAACACAAGCTGAAGGAGGTACAGACCACAACAGAGTGTTTCAAACGCCACGGGATAGGATACAGAGGGACTGTGAACAAGACCACATCCGGAACTCCTTGCCAGCCTTGGAACTCCCAGGTCCCACACCAACACCAATTGACGCCAGAAAACTACCCGTGCAAGTATGTAGACTCCTGGAGCTCAGTGGTTAGAGAGCTCGCTTTGCAAACAAGAGGACCTGGGTTTGATTCCCGGGCAGGGCGAAACGTTGGGCAAGTTTCCTTATTCCACACACACGCCTCTGTTTACCCAGCAGTAACTAGGAACCCACCAAATGTTAGTCGATTTTTTTCCAGGGGGTAATAATTGCTTAAAAAAATAAAATAATAATTTGATCACTCACTAACTCAACACAGAACAAGATTCAATCACCCTGCCCTGCCTGTTTCGTTCATTACTGTAGTGGGCACTACCTTTTAGCCTTCAGACCATCGGAACAACTCTTTGGTGGAAAAGAGTTTTATTCCGTCAAATGTCACCCTTCAAATCTGAGTTGATCACCATCTGTGTGTGTCGTTGTAGAGGACTGGAAGAGAATTACTGCCGAAATCCTGACGGATCTGAAGCACCTTGGTGTTTCACATCAGATCCTGATGTACGACATGCATTCTGTCTGCAGATCGATCGCTGTGAAGATGACATTGAGCCTGAAGGTAACGTGGACTTCCCTAGCACTGAACATCAATAACTTTCTCCAGCCTCTAGTCACACAGAACCCATTCTGCTATAATTAGAGAAACAAGACGATCACATCTCGGCAACAGCCCTCTCTAGGGGACATCTGTTAGGTTCAACTGGAGGTATTGCTATTTTAGCAGTTTCCATTCCAGGAGCTCATTCATATCTTATATTGAAATCAATTACCAGGAACCTGAGGATCATCCTAAATGTCCCTTGATTCCCCACATTGAACATGTTGAGGCAAAGTTTGAACCAAAGTTGTTCAGTGTGGAAAACACCCTAAATGTTCCTAGGGACAGGCACATTGAGGATGAGCCTCAGGTTCCTAGTAATTTATTTAAGTGTAAGGTATGAACGAGTTCCTTGCACGAGCCTGGTTGAATGGCTGTGGCAATAGGATGAACCGCAAATAGCTGCCTGGCTTAATCCTGCTCAACTACAACACAAACCACAACTTGCATTTGTATAGCAACCCTCGCGCAGGGTAATGTCCCCGAGAGCTTGACAGTGGCAGAGCAGGACATCAGGTGGGAAAGGTTACAAGGGTCTGATTGAAATGTCTTAAAGGGACACAACACCTGGCATTTCTTTCCAGCTGGGTAGGTAGGCCACTTTATTGTTAATACACCGTTCTTCGGTTGGGCTGACTCTGTGAAGACTCATATGTTAATACTAACCATTGAGGTGTTTAAGCAAGGCACTGGAGAGAACAGAGCCGGGCATGTGAAGGAAATCAGCCCTTTGAGACGTCTGAAAGACGTGATAAGGCGCTATATCAAATGCAAGGATTATTATTATTATTATTAAACCTTCAGGAGAAAACTGCCAATAACTCCAAAGTCGAATAGAAATGTGGAATTATATATATACATAACCAACCGTTTCTGAGAAGCTGATAAATTATTGAAAACTTTGGCTTCTTATAACTCTACAGATTGCTACTATGGAAATGGTGAAATGTACAGAGGGAGTGTAAAGAAAACAAGGAAAGGGATCCATTGCCAGAAGTGGAATTCAAATACCCCTCACATAACCCAGTAAGTCCCACAGTCACATTTTACAGTCACCTCAATACCTGCAGATTATTGGGATTAATTCAAGGAGCTGTGTGTGTGTGTGTGTGTGTCACCCACAAAATACACAGTCAGTCAATCCACTTTACAGCCACTACGCGCCAATACTCTGGAACTCTCTCCCTCAATCCCTCCACCTTGCCCGCTCCCTCCCTACCTCCTCACCTTCAAATCCAGACTAAAGACCTTCCTCTTTGATGGTGCTTACGGTCACCTCCCCTCTCCCTCCCTCCCTCCCCCCTGGCTCGGGGTCAGACTCCGCCACTGTCCAGCGCTCTGGGACATACCCCGGGTGAAGGGCGCTGTGTAAATGCAAGTTGTTGTTGTGTATCGTGCCAATGTCCTGATTCCCTTCTGAAACCTTTCTTACAGAGTCAATCACAAGTCTCATCCGAAAGCAAACCTCGTGGGGAATTTATGTCGAAACCCAGACGGTGACAGTCACGGTCCCTGGTGTTACACCATGCACCCCAAAGTCCAGTGGGATTACTGTGCCATCAACACCTGCAGTAAGAGACTCAGTTGATGTTGGATATCGACCAAACAACAACAAATGACATTTGCACGGAGCCTTTCACATCAGGAGGACGTCCCAAGGCGCTGGACAGTCAGGGATTTGGACCCGAGCTGGGGGTTGGGAGCAGGAGAGGTGGAGGGCAGGGAGGATGGGGGTAGGGGGTGATCGAAGGTGCAGTCGGAGAGGAGGGTCTTGAGACAGGGATCCCATAGGGACAACATGCAATATTTGGTAACTGTGATCAAATCCTACGTATAATTCCTTATTTTAAAGTATAACTATACAGTACTTACTCAGTATTTTGTGGATAGTGCTTCAGATTATCATTTTAGGCAAATGATTTTCAGTTGCTTCTTCAGGCGCAAACTAATAGTCCTTTGGTAATAATAATAATCCTTGTATTTGATACAGTGCCTCATCACGTCGTCGAGACGTCTCAAAGCGCTTCACAGAATATACTGAAACTGTATTGACTGTATTGTTGGTGGGCGAAAAGCAGCAGCCAATTGCGCACAGCAGCGTCCCACAAACAGTCATGGATCGAAGTGATCAAATTATATTTTTTTTATGTTTAAATTATAGAAGGAGCTCATGAGCCGCCCATCGTAGATCCAGGTACACACTTTTCCTCTCTTTTTTAATCTATTTATAAAGCTTGCCGGTATCTAATTGGATTTTATCAATATATGCATATTTATTAATTATTGTTAAAAAAAAACTTTCTTTGAGGTAGGACAGTGCTTTTGGTAACTGTTAGGTTCGGAAAAAATTCTGGATTCCAATCCTGCCCGGACTGAGACATATATCTACCGGCTTCAAAGGTCCCATATGAAAACCCACCCTCAACCCAATCCTCAATGGGCACGAATCCACAGCCCAAAACTAACCACAACTCCTTAGACTTTAACGTTGTTCCTCTTCGAAGCCGTAACAACTTGCTGTTTACACAGCGCCCCTCACTTTGGGTAACGTCCCAGAGTGCTGGACAGTGGCAGAGCCTGACACTGAGCCGGGGGAGATGGGAGGTGACCGAAGGCACGGTCGAGGAGGAAGTGTCTTCAGGTGTGACCTGAAGATGGGTAAGGAGGGGGCGAGGCGGAGGGATAGAGGAAGCTGGTTCCAGAGTATCAGGGCATAGTGGCTGAAAGTGTGGCCACCGAGCGGAGGGCACGAGGGACAGGCTGGAGGCCGGAGCCAGTCGAGGGGAGACAGTGGGTAGTGGGTTGGGGATTAATGTACTTATGTCTGATATGTTTGTAACACTGCCTTGTTTATCCTTTTCAGAAGAAGTAGTCTTTGATTCCTGCGGCAAACGAGATGACCGAATGTTTAGGAACAACATGCTTCGGATTGTGGGAGGTTTACCCGGCAATTCCCCTTGGACAATCAGCTTGCGGAACAGGTAACTACATAGAGCAACACTGACGGCATCTGAGGGCTCTACACCCAGTGCAGGAAATATTAGTAAACAGTAAAACGAGGGATAGCTAAGCCTAGTCCCTCCGCCTCGCCTCACTCCCTCGCTCGCCTTCTTCAAGGCACGTGTCAAGACCCTCCTCTTTGGTCACCCTCCTCCTATTTCTCCCATTTTCTTTCTTTCTTTCTTTTCAGGGCAGGGAAACATTTCTGCGGAGGAACCCTGGTCAGCACAAGTTGGATCATCAGTTCAAAGCAGTGTTTCTCCTCCTGGTACGGTTTGAACTTTTACTGTATTGAGAACGTGGCTCGGGTCAATACAGAGTTAAATACAGACAAATAAATGCAACCGGCAATTGGAAGTTTCAGATTGATGTTCAAGTTACTGGAGCTGTAAGCAGGAATGAATATTATTCAGGGATATCAGGGATGTTTCTCTGCTTGAGGCAGATTCTGTAAGAGGGACATTTTGATAATAGTTTATTATTATTATTAATTTATTATCTCAAAGCGCTTCGCAGAATATACCGTCAAGTGAATTGACTGTATATTTTGTGGCACATTTAACTGTTCCTTTGCTTTCCAGCTATGTCGAGCGCAGAGGGTATGAAGCATGGATGGGAACTATATTCAAAGATCCAAGGCCAAATGACCCAAACAAGCAAGCGATTCCTATCCAGAGGGCAGTATGTGGACCATCCAGCTCTAACTTAATCATGTTGCAGTTAGAGAGGTATGATCAACACTAAAAACAAAATGAGGGTTAGAATTTACAATACCGTATTCTGGTACGAGAAGTTTATGATGTATATATCACGAAACGCTGGAACACTCTCCCTCTATCCCTCGGCCTCGCCCCTTCCTTCCCCATCTTCAGGTCACGCCTGAAGACCATCCTCTTCGACCATGACTGCGATCATCTCCCCACCAGCTCAGCGTCAGGCTCCACCACCGTCACGCGCTCTGGGAACCTGCCCTGTGTGAGGGCGCGCTGTGTAAATGCAAGTTGTTGTTCCACAAGTAACAGATCAGAAAATGACCCCACAAGCTTTTGTATTCCCCCCCACCCCAATACAGGCCTGCGTCTTTAAACGAACGTGTGGCTGTGATCTGCCTGCCCCCACCACAGTACATAGTTCCTGAAGGAACGGGATGCGAGATAGCCGGATGGGGAGAAACCCAAGGTAAGGGGTTTATTCGAAACACATTCAGGTGCACGGCTGAGAGCTCAGAGATCGAGTCAGTCGTAACCAGAGATCGAGTCAGTCAGTGTGTAGTCAGGGATCTCTCTGTTTCAGTGCTCAGAGCGCCCATCACAATGCCACAAGAACTCCGGGCCTTTGGGCACATCTGCTAAGTTGGCAATAATTATGGATTGCCTCGCGAGAGGACTTGGGTTCGATTCCCGGACTCGGGGCGAAACGTTGGGCAAGAGAGATTGGCAAAGAAACAGCCGCGATGGAATCGTCTGTCATCATTGACGCTGATTTGTTCTGGTTGACATTTAGGTACAGGCGACGATGAGGTCCTCAACATCCTCCAAATGCCAGTGATGAGCAACAGACAATGTAATGGTTACCACAGAGGACTTGTGCAACCAACAGAGATATGTGCTGGGGCGATCAGTCGGGCCGCAGGGGCATGTGAGGTAAGAGACAACTGCAGATTCAACGGTTAAACTGTAGGAACCCTGAGTGTTAATTAGTTGGAGGACGTCTTGGTGAAATACCAACCTTTGACCAGATCGCAATAAAATTCTGATAACATTTAAGATAAATGACAAAAGAACCAGAGGGGAGTTTTTTTTTATATATACGCAATGAGTCGTTACGGTCTGGAAGGCACTGCCTGAAAGAAAGGGCGGGTGGAAGCAGATTCGATAATCACTTTCAAAAGGGAGTTGGATAGATACTTGAAAAGAAAAAAAAATCGTCAGGGGGTATGGGGTACGAGCGGGGGGGGAAGAGGGGGAAGGGCGTGGTGGTGGGACTAGTTGTTAGCTCTTTCAAAGAGCAGGCACAGGCACGATGGGCCTCCTGAATGGCCTCCTTCTGTGCTGTAAGATGCTACGAAACTCAGGTTTAAACGGAGGATGGGATTAGAAATCGAATGCCTAATGGGAACGAGAGACGATTGAAAAATATCCAATCGTTTTGGGCTCACTCAGGAGAGTCACTGCTGAGACAGCCGAGGCTGCAGTCAAGTACCTTCTACAAGACGTAGGGAGAGAGCAGTTTATTTTGCCGTTTCAGAAAGATTACGGGGGACCCCTCGCCTGCTTCACGAACGAGTGCTGGGTGCTGGAAGGAGTGATCATACCAGGCCGGGGTTGCGGGAGAAGGAATCGTCCAGGGATCTTCATACGAGTCTCGATGTACGTGGACTGGATGAATAAAGTCATGAAGATGAACTAAAGGTCGATTCTCGAGCCGATCGCAGCAAAGACTTTTGACGAGCAGGAGACTGAAATGGGACAGTCTGTTAATAATGCATAATACTCGCTGCACAAATAAATGTCGGAAAAAACAAAACCCAAACGGAAGTTGCAGTCATTACTCTATGCCTTACGGAAGGAGTCACACAAGAGAACGGCCATTTTAGGATAGTCATTGTTAACACTTTTATTTCACGGGAAATCAATCCTAACAGCAATGATTTCACAAAATGTCACTGTTCCCTCCTTTCGGCCACCCTCTGCCCAGCGGGCTCCGGCCTGCTTCACGCCCCCCGCCCCACCATTGGCGGGCGAGCCTTCTGCCACTCTGCCCCCACCCTTTGGAACTCCAGCCCGCAGTCCCTCCGCCTCGCCCCCTCCCTTGCCTCCTTCAAGACCCATCTCAAGACCCTCCTCTCCGACCGTGCCTTCGGTCACCCCCCTTCCCCCCACCACGCCGGCCCTCCACCCTCCCCCGACCCCCAGCTCGGTTCCGAAACACTGACTATCCAGCGCCTTGGGACGTCCTCCCGAAGGCGCTGCGTAAATGTAACGCGTTGTGGTTGGAAGGGGGAGAGTGTGGGGGGGGGGGCGCGGGTGGAGCTGAAGTCTGTAGAAACCCGGGGAAGCGGCAACCGAGAGGCCAATCGATAGGAATAAGCCGGACAATTGTTGACCACGACGTTCAAACAAGGCCCCCAGAGGGAGGCGTGGAGTTACGGCGGCCGAAGGGCTCCTCGGCTAAAAAAAACAACCCCGACATTGATAACTTCTTGGCGCCTTGAAATAAACCGGGATTTTGGACACTCTGTGCTTCGAGTACGTCTGTTGTTGGGCATCGAACGTGTAAACCCTTCGGAGAGAAGGGGATCAGGTTGACCCCCCCCCCCAGACCCTCGGTTGACGTGGGCTGGGCTCTCGTCCCTGTCGTAAATCACACCGCCTCTTAATTATCTCTTATCGAGGACGAACAAATAAACCCAACGGCCACACAACACAGGACACCCCTAAACATGATAGGACTCGAGCCTGTAAAGCTTCTTGAAGGGGAAGGCAGCCACTACTCACACCCCCTCCCCCGGTATTTGGTCTGCGGAGATTAATACGGATTAACCCAGCGGGGAATATTGTCTTGGAATGTCGGTTACCGACACCATGCACATACAGTGCCTCGGACTGATCTGAACGCTGCTCCGGAAATGCGGCCACTTGATTCAGCCAAGAAATGGGAATCCTCAGCTGATCCTTCGGTCTCTCCGTTAACGCCTCCTTCGACGCTCCGCCTCACATCACACCGCACAGGTTTCCGGAAGCCCCAAAACAAAAATAATCAGCGCGAACCCAAAAAAAATGCTCGCCCGTCCGTCTGTAAAATAGCCCCGTAACCCTGTGGACGGAGCAAAAAGTCAGACTGAGTTGGGGAAGAGCGGGGAGGGAGGGGGAGACAGTAACTGAGCTCCAGTCACGCGCTCGGCTTTTATCTGCAGAACCGAAATCCCCGACGGTAACAGCCACTTCGCTAACTCTCCTGGCGCTTCACCCGCAAGACAGTCGGCTTCGCTGCGCAAGTCGTTCCGCGAAGGGCTCTTGAGACGCCGACGAGGCCAAACGCGTCCAAACGCCGGGGTTTTTTTTGTGATTATAAAGTGAGAGTCATCAGGAGCGGAGGGGCTAAGGCACGAGAGGGAGGCGCGGCGCCTCGTGCAAAATAGCCGCGGTCGCTCTCTGCCGGGGAAGTGCGACTTCTTACTGCAAGTGCGGGTAACGCCGGATCGCTCACTCACTCACTCACTCACGGACGCGCAGCCGGAGAGGACGAAGCCCGGCTGACGTTCTTCCTCAGACGTCAAAGGTAATTTTTTTCCATAACACCTCCTCCTCAAGAATTCTCTGGCAAGCGGTTTCTCCTTTTTTTTCCTTTCGGGGGACGGGGGACGGGGGGAGAAAAAACAAATAATAAAATGGCAGGTTTTTACCGGTTCCGGAATTTTGGGACCATCTTTCCCCTTCGTTTGCGCCGGGTCTCCCCCCCCCCCCCACTCGGGAAGCGGAATCGTCAGCCGCAGATTCCCACATTTGGAACGACGAGCGATTCCCACCCCAATTTGTCTCCGGCTTCTCCCGAGTGTTCTCTTCCCGCTCTCTCTTCATTGCTGAGCTGGAGCGTGGCGTCCCGTAGCGCAGCGGTGAGAGCTCTCGCCTCGCAAGCGAGAGGACCCGGGTTCGGTTCCCGGGCAGGACGGGGGGGGGGTGGGGCGAAACATTGGGTAAGTTTCCTTACTCCGCACACACACGCACACACACGCACACGCACACACACACACACACACGCCCGCCCCGCGCCTCTGTTTACCAGCGGTGAGCGGGAACCCGGCTGCTAAGTCGATTGGCGGATAAATAAAATTTGGTCACTCTCTCTCTCTCTCTCTCTACGCTCCGTGTGTGGGATGTTGTTGTGCACAACTCCACACCAACGCACAGTCCCTTAATATCACAGTACGTCCTGTAAAGCCCTTCGGGGTGTCCTTCCGACGCGATAAGGCCCTCCACCAAACACAAGGAGTATTATGAAAACCCACCGCCGCAACTTTAGGGTCTCAAGATATTCAGATTCAAGCAGCAAAAGCACCGGCTGACCCACCCACCCACATACCCACCTACATACCCACCCACATACCCACCCACATACCCACCCACCCACATACCCACCCACCCACCCACATACCCACCCACCACCCACCCACCCACCCACATACCCACCCACCCACATACCCACCCACCCACATACCCACCCACCCACCCACATACCCACCCACCCACCCACCCACATACCCACCACCACATACCCACCCACCACATACCCACCCACCCACATACCCACCCACATACCTACCCGACCACCCACATACCCACCCCCCCACATACCCACCACCCACATACCCACATACCACCCCACCCACATACCCACCCACCCACATACCCACCCACCCACATACCCACCCACCCACATACCCACCCACCACCCACCCACCCACCCACATACCCACCACATACCCACCCACCCACCCACCCACAACCCACCACCCACCCACATACCCACCCACCCACATACCCCCCCCCCCCCCCCCCCCCCCCCCCCCCCCCCCACATACCCACCCACCCACATACCCACCCACCCACATACCCACCCCACATACCCACCCACCCACATACCCACCCACATACCCACCCACCCACATACCCACCTACATACCCACCCACCCACCCACATACCCACCCGACCACCCACCCACCCACATACCCACCTACATACCCACCACCCACCCACCTACATACCCACCCACCCACCCACATACCCACCCACCCACATACCCACCTACATACCCACCACCCACCCACATACATACCCACCCACATACCCACCCACACACACACCCACCCACATACCCACCCACATACCCACCCACCCACATACCTACCGTCCTGGAATCTGCGGCAGACTTGGAAGATTTATTTTTCCATAACGCCGCCTCACCCGGAGTTCCACATCTCAAGTCCACATATGTTTTCTGCCCAAAAGGAAAAAAAAACACAGAGTCCTGTCCTGTCGCTCTCAGCGGTTAGAGAGCGCTCTCCTGGCGATCCCGAGCACCCGGGGGGGCGGTTCCCGGGCGGGGGGGAGGCCTCGGGCAGGTTTCCTTACCACCACCCCCCCCATCCCCCCCCACACACACACACACGCAGACACACACACACACACCCCACACCCACCCACACACACCCACACCCACACGTGCACACGCGCCGCTGGTTATCAGCAGTCAGTAGGAACCCGGTTGTTAGTCGAATGGCGGATGGCTTTTCGGGGGTGGGGGGGATATAATAATCCCCGTCGGTCAACGTGAGCGCCACGTTTCTCACCCCCACACCCCACACCCCCCCCACCGCACACCCCCCCCACACCCCAAAAAAAATATATTTTACGGTCAATTTGCTTTACAGTCTATTCATTATTATTATTATTATTTTATCACAAGTTGTTGTTGTTTTAATTCTCTCTCTCACCCCCACTGCCCCCCCTCCCCCCCCCTCCCCCGTCACCCCCACTGCCCCCCCCCTCCCCCCCCCCCGTCACCCCCACTGCCCCCCCTCCCCCTCACCCCCCCCCGTCACCCCACTGCCCCCCCCTCCCCCTCACCCCTCCCCCGTCACCCCCACCCCCCCCCCCTCCCCCCCCCCCCCCCCCCCCCCCCCCCCTCCCCCCCCCCCGTCACCCCCACTGCCCCCCCTCCCCCCCCTACCCCCGTCACCCCCACTGCCCCCCCTCCCCCTCACCCCTCCCCCCGTCACCCCACTGCCCCCCCCCCTCACCCCCACTGCCCCCCCCTCCCCCCCGTCACCCCACTGCCCCCCCCCCACCCGTCACCCCCACTGCCCCCCCCTCCCCCCCCCCCCCCCGTCACCCCCACTGCCCCCCCCCCACCCCGTCACCCCACTGCCCCCCCCCCCCCCGTCACCCCCACTGCCCCCCCCCCCACCCCGTCACCCCCACTGCCCCCCCCCCCACCCCGTCCCCCCACTGCCCCCCTCCCCCTCACCCCCCCCCGTCACCCCACTGCCCCCCCCCCACCCCGTCACCCCCACTGCCCCCCCTCCCCCACCCCCCCCCGTCACCCCCACCCCCCGTCACCCCCACTGCCCCCCCTCCCCCTCACCCCCCCCCGTCACCCCACTGCCCCCCCCCCGTCACCCCCACTGCCCCCCCCCCCCGTCACCCCACTGCCCCCCCCCCTCCCGTCACCCCCACTGCCCCCCCCCTCCCGTCACCCCCACTGCCCCCCTCCCCCTCACCCCCCCCCCCCCGTCACCCCCACTGCCCCCCCTCCCCCTCACCCCCCCCCCCCCGTCACCCCACTGCCCCCCCCCCCTCCCGTCACCCCACTGCCCCCCTCCCACCCCGTCACCCCACTGCCCCCCCTCCCCCTCACCCCCCCCCGTCACCCCACTGCCCCCCCTCCCCCTCACCCCACTGCCCCCCCCCCCACTGCCCCCACTGCCCCCCCCCCTCCCCCGGGGTTGGCTGACAGGGTCGGTACTGACCGCCGGACTCCGGGCACTGCCCCCACACCACACACTGACCCTCAGGGCCCCGCGGGCGGGAGAGGCGCTGATTGGCCCAAACCGCTCACACTGTAACCACCGGAGGGCGGAGCCACAGCGCCCGATACAGAGGGGGGGACAGGGGGGGGACAGGGGGGAGAGGGGGGGGACAGGGGGGGACAGGGGAGAGGGGGGGGACAAGGGGGGGACAGGGGGAGAGGGGGGGGGACAAGGGGGGGGACAGGGGGGGGACAGGGGGACGGGGGGGGGGGACAGGGAGGGGGAGGGGGGGACAGGGGGGGGGGGGGGGGTACAGGGGGAGAGGGGGGGGGGTACAGGGGGGGGGGGGGGACAGGGGGGGGAGGGGGGACAGGGGGAGAGGGGGGGGGACAGGGGGGGACAGGGGGGGAGGGGGGGACAGGGGGAGAGGGGGGGGGACAGGGGGGGACAGGGGGAGAGGGGGGGGACAGGGGGGGACAGGGGGAGAGGGGGGAGGGAGGGGACAGGGGGGAGGGGGGACAGGGGGGAGGGGGGGAGAGGGGGGACAGGGGGAGAGGGGGGGGGACAGGGGGGACAGGGGGAGAGGGGGGGGACAGGGGGGGGGGGACAGGGGGAGAGGGGGGGGACAGGGGGGGACAGGGGGAGAGGGGGGGGGACAGGGGGGACAGGGGGGACAGGGGGAGGGGGGGGGACAGGGGGGACAGGGGGAGAGGGGGGGAGGGAGGGGACAGGGGGGGACAGGGGGGACAGGGGGGGAGGGGGGAGAGGGGGGACAGGGGGAGAGGGGGGGGAGGGGGGGTCAGACGGGGAGGGAGAGACGGGGAGATAGGGAAAGTGGGAGGGGGGAGACGGGGGGGGGGGGGGGGGTGAGAAACGGGGAGAGAGGGAGGGAGAGGGACTGAGGGAGTGAATGACAGAGAGTGAGGGAGGGACTGAGAGAGAGGGGGACGGGATCGATACAGTTTAGATACACGGAGAGAGGGAGAATAATAATAACAATAATAATAATAATAATCCTTGCATTTGATATAGCGCTTTTCACGTCAGGAGGACGTCCCAAAGCGCTTCACAGAACACACTGTAAAGTGAATTGACTGTATATTTGTGGGCGAACGCGGCAGCCAATTGCGCACAGCAATGTCCCACAAACAGTCGTAGATTGAAAATGACCAATTTATTATTGTTTTGGATTTTTGGAGGACTATTATTAGGCTCTGTGTGGAGTAAGGAAACTTGCCCGAGGTTTCGCCCTCTGCCTGGAATTGAACTCAGGTCTCTCACTTGCAAAGCGAGTGCTCTAACCACTGAGCTACAGGACTCCACGTCGAGAGAGAGAGAGAGAGAGAAGGATAGCGTGAGATGATAAGAGAAAGAGAGAGAGAGAGAGGAGATAGCGAGTCAGCGCACGGGTGTGTGAAAAAAAACCTTTGGGGGTCACTGTTTCCCCACATTTCCAATCCTATTTATTCAGCGGTTATTGTCGCTGAGGTATAATAGTAATAATAATTTTGAGTGACGAACCCCATCACTGCTCGTCACCATCACCGGCCAGAAATCCTCGGTCCTTTGCTCAGGTCAAAACCAGCGCAAACCTTTGCGTACGCAATTATTACTATCGTTAAAATGTACTTTTTCTTGAACGTTGCTTAGGATTTGCCACCAGATGGCAACACGGACTGCCGATCCTCACGGTTTCCCGACCTTCCCGGCATCCGACTGCGTTACTCCTTCACGGATTTCGCTCCACCGTTTCGGGATTGAACAACGATAATAATCCGCTGCATTTGATGTGAGCGCAAAGCGGACGGACTGCGGATATTCTGCGAGCGGAACGCGGCAGACAATTGCGTACGGCCGGTCCGCAAACGGTCGAGTGACCAAATTAATTCATTGTTTTTCTTTCTTCTTCTCGAAGGATTATTATCCGGTGTGAGGAGTAAGGAGATTTATCCCAAGGTTTGACCCTGTTGGGAATCGAACCCAGGTCTACTCGCTCGCGAAGCGAGGGCTCCAACCACTGAGCTACGGGGGACACCATGTGTATAATTTCTCATATTTTTATTTTCACTCAAACCCTAATAGTTTCGTGAATCCAGTATAATTTGTTCAAGTCATAATATGTTTGCATTTGGTGTGTGTCCACACTAGAAATGGAATACTTTGGCCAACAGCGTCAAAACACAGGTACAATATCACAGGTCGGTTACAAGATGAATGAGATGCAGAGGAAAGCTCTTCTTCATTGGCCCCACCATGTCATCACTTGTCACATAAACCAGTGGATATACACACACATATATATATAAATAGCTTTATGGCGTCAAGTTTCCTTACCCCTCACGTCACTGTTCACCCAGCAGTAAGTGGGAACCCGGTTGTGGTGGTGGATCGTTTTTTNCCAGGGGCAATAATTCCTTCAAAAAAACTAATAATAATTTGGTCACTCAATCCACGGCTGTTTGTGGGGACGCTGCCGTGCGCAATCGGCTGCCGGGTTTCCACCCGCAAAATGCACAGTCAATTCACTTTGCAGGATATCTTGTGATGCGCTTTGAGACATCCTGAAGATGTGATAAGGCGCTGTATTAAATGCAATGATTATTATTATTACTATAATAAGCCACAGGAGGATTATGAATGTCCACCATACTTTGGGGGTAAGGATTTTTGTTGGAAAAGCTGCCACTGGGAGCATGTGATTATCATGTGATTCACTCCTGGACAGGGATCTACACTCCATCACTAACAGGATTTATTTCCTAATGATCTTAATGGAAACCAAAGGAATTTTGTTTGCAATGTGGTCTCTGGCGGCTGCTAATAATTTCCTTGAATATTGCCTGCAGACTCTTTGGAGTCGGAGAGAACCCACAAGCAAGGAACGGCTAACAGAACTGGAGCAAAGTGCCGGAGCCGACCACATGGACTTGTGCTGCTCGTCAACTGGATGCGTAGGAACCGCAGCTGGCACGGAGCCAACAAGGTGAATCGATGGGTTTCAGGCGGGGAATCAATGTTAGTATCAGCCAGTAAACAGGACTTCTATGGAAAAGAGTTCATGGGAAAGTAGGAACAAAAGGAGGCCATCCAGCCCCTCGAGCCTGTTCCGCCATTCTGTAAGATCACGGCTGATCTGTACCTCAACTCCAATTACCTGCCCTCTCCCCGTAGCCCTTGATCCCCTGACCCAACAAATATCTATGCACCTCAGTCTTGAAAACTTGAATGGATCCAGCCATAACCCACAGCCTTTTTTGGGGGGAGAGAGAGGGAGAGAGAGAGTTCCAGATTCTGTTGTTTGAACGGTTGATGGGGATCGAAGGAGCTTTCAGGTTCCAGGTTACACGCTTCAATATCTCGCAGTAAATATGCAGTGACCTCCCATGGTGGGGTAGGAAGAAAACCAACAGGAGGCTTGCAAGACTGTGCCTGAGAAAGATGTCATCAATCCCTCCATCTTGGGGAGATGTTGTACAATCTGCTCCTTTGCCTGTAGGCTGGAGTTGATGACCGTCCTTGGAAGCAGATGTCCATCAGAGAGCGAGAGAGAGAGAGAGCTGTCTCCAATCACAGGAGGACAGGCTGTGGACACACTTCCACACTCCCCCGGAGGCCAAACTCCAGATTATAAATAGATATTTGATTTGAAAGCAGAATTTAGAAACACCCACACTATCCGCTTTAAATATCACTCACTCTACACCTATGTATCTGCCTTTGTAGATCGTAACACCTCTAATTATTATATTAAAAAAATTCTGTTTCAAAGAGATAGGTGAGGCATGTTTGTGTCTCAAGTTACAAGCTCCTGTTGAATCCTGTACTGTATCGCCTTAGGAAGTATTTTTGACGATCTTAATACTGTTCTGCAACCGAATACTTTCTTGATTACTTGTGACTTGATTGCAGGGTCATAAGGTGAGAGTTGTCAGTATTGTGAAGTAATAATTTTCTGAGCTGAATCGCTCGCGGATCAAGGTAAATTGCGGTTAAACACGCGGTTGCAACTCTTTCCAATTCACGCCAACCATCAAACGTTGCTTCATCAGGTGTAGGGTGAAACGTCTCAAAGCGCTTCGCGGACTATACGGTGAAGTGAATTGACTGTATATTGTGCGGGTGAAACACGGCGGCCAATTGCTCATAGCGCTAATTGCTTGACTAAGATCTCCATTAATTTGGTCGCCTGTAGCCTTAAGATCAACCTCCTTAGATTTTCTCTCAATGCTTTTTAATGTCTATTTTGCGGTTATTTTTTGTCCAGAATCGCACACCACGCCCCACACAAGATATTAAGTAAGGTTGGCAGAACTTGTTTTGGCTTGCAATCCAAGGCTCTCCAGATGTTTCTCAATACAGTACTTGTTAACAACTGTTTCACAGTAACTAGACATTCACAATGATCACACCTACATTCTTTGCACTTTTTGTCCAATAAACACCTTTTGCATTTAGTTTCTTTATCCGAACGCAATTGCTCACTAGTCACCCAAGATTGCCCAGTAAATAAAATAAATATAATAAATAATCCCTGCATTTGATACAGAGCCTTATCACGTCTTTGTCTCAAAGCGCTTCACAGAATATACTGTAAAGTGAATTAACTGTGTACTTTGTGGGCGAAACGCTGCAGCCGATTGGGCACAGCAGCGTCCCCACAAACAGCCGTGGACCGAGTGACCAAATTATTATTATTATTATTTTTTTAAGAGATTATTAACCCCAGAAGATGATTTATATCGTAAACAATTGATACGTCGGGGAGAGAAATCTAAATTGACGAGCAACAGAAAAGCAGGAGAGACTTTTTTTTAAAAAAGTAGAAAGAAAAGGAAGTTTAAGTTACTTTACAGAGAGGGTACCGATAGTTAAGACTCCCTTCATGTAAATGAGAAGGCAGTAAACAGTGTGATTTGTGGGGTCAGGGTGCAGCCCTTGAGATCTGCTCTGCGCGGCTGTGAATTAGCTGATGCCTTCTCAATCATTCCCAAATTAAACATTTACCCCTAATTATACACACGAGCAACTCCTGGATTAGTAAAGAATAACCAGAAGAGTAATAAATACTCGACGTCTGGCAGACCGCAGGCCTGCACAGTGTTGTAAATAAAATTGGCTTGTCGACAACAGGATTAGAGCCGTCCGCAGGAACCAGGAACGAGCTGAGAACATTCAGCCAATTCAATCTGTTACACCAGTTTATTAGATCTCGTTGACAGTTCCACATCTTCACAACCCTCTGTGCGAAGAAATAGTCCTGTGGCTCAGCGGTTAGAGCGCTCGCCTCGCAAGCGAGAGGACCCGGGTTCGATTCCCGGGCAGGTCAGGGCGAAACTGGGCAAGTTTCCTTACTCCGCACACACACACACACACACACACGCGCGCGCGCGCCTCTGTTTACCAGCAGTGAGTAGGAACCCGGTTGGTAGTCGATTGACAGATCACTTTTCCGGGGGTAATGATTCCTTCAAAAATAATTGAATGTCCCATCTATTTATTGTAAGTTTACGGCATATGCTCTTCCGTGTTTCCCGACCTCATGACCAATATTTTCTGATGAAAGCTGTGCACAAAGCTCACAGACGTGTTAGAGACTCAGCAGAATAAAGCTTAAACCCACACAGAAATTCCACATTTTGCACAGTTTATTCGAACAGTATATACAGATTCAAACGCTCAAATCCCCACTCAACCAGGTTTAGTGATTATATTTAGAATAAAGTTCATAACTTAAGGCTTTAACTGCAGAGCAAAGTATCTTCCACCTCTTAAAAAAAACATACGCAGCACGACTCGCTCAGGATTTGAGTACAGTAGCTTGAAAATTAACTTGTATTTTACTCACCTCTGCTATCGTTCTGCCCTGCAATGATGTGACCACAAATCACATCCTCTGTAACCAGAGGATTACTAAAGTGTAAATATTAGCTGCCAACACACCCCACCTCCACGAAGAGGGAACTTGATTTTATGAATTGAAAATGAAGGAGCATAGCTGAGGTTTGCTGATTTCTGTAGCTCAGTGGTGAGAGCACTCGACTCGCAAGCGAGAGGATCTGGGTTCGATTCCCGGGCAGGACTGGGTGCAATGTTGGGCAAGTTTCCTTCCGCTACACACACGCTTCTGTTTACCTAGCAGTATGCAATCAGTACGTAATCTGGTTGCTATGTCGATTGGCAGATCACTTTTCAGGGGGTAATAATCCCTTCCAAAAAAAAATAATAATTTGGTCACTCGATGCACAAAATACGCAGTCAATTTACTTTACACTATATTCTGTGAAGCGCTTTGAGACGTGATAAGGCGCTGTATCAAATGCAAGGACTATTATTTATATCTTATGTGGGACAGGTTACTAAAGAAGCAGCAAAGCAACATAAATGACAACCACAAACGAAGGTTATTCATTCACCTACAAAATATACAGTCACTACACTTGACAACAAAAATCCTGTGAAGCGCTTTGAAACACTTTCAACCAAGTGATAAGGCGCAATATCAAATATAAGGATTATAAAAGGTATATACAGTATTGGATTTAATCTGTTTGAACATTATACTGTAAAACTAGACTAAATCAGGAGTCAGGTTCGAACCTAACCGGTTTTGTTTCATGAATTAAAACTCTGTGGAAATGTCCACCAGAGAGAATTGCAAAGTTCGAGCCAACACTGTTTGCCGGAGTCAGCTGTGGAGACACAACTAATTAGAAAGGTCGAACATCCATTTGACGATTGCAGCCAAACTGTATAATACTTCAGACGGTCTTTCTCCCTTCAAGAATGACGACAAAAGCAATTCTAGTTCCAATTCAAAGCGGCGTAGAACAGGAAGCGTTAAGTTTGATGTCCCACTGTCCTGGCAGGGAACGTGACAGGTAGCATTAATTTGCATTCCCGCTACACTTTACTACGCTTCCCAGACACACTATCCATGGCAAGCCGTGTGGTTTCAGCTGGTTAGACTCAACGCTCCACAGTTATCCCAACGCACACCCCAAATCTTGGCTCTCGCCAACCTGCGCCTAATCCTTTCCGGAATTAGGTAAGCGGGGTGCGTCCCTCCAGAGAGAGAGAGAGAGAGAGAGAGAGAGCGCATTCCGTTCCGACAATCTATCTCTGGGATTTCCAGGTGTAGGTGGGATGCCTGGAAAGCTTGGCTTGGCTTGGAGACTCGTGAGCAACGGTGATGGGTTTCCGCGTGAAAAAAAAACCATGTGTATTGCCAGGAAAAGTAGCTTCCGTAACCCAAGGTAATTCAATTTCGGAATTGGCAACTCTTTCCTGATAAGTCTCCGCGCTCCGTACTTTCGTTAAACAAAATTATTTTGAGATTATATACACACCCCACACGCACACAGATGCAAATACATGAATACACACAGTATTATTAACACAAAGCCACAGATGTTCAGATATGAGGACAATGAGGAGCAATCCCTCCTGGGGTCCAGGGTTACTCTGTTGGTGTAGGAGCGCCTGGAATTTGGCCAATTGTTGAATTAAGTCTTTGAAGTCGATTTTCTGTATTTTTTTGTGTGTGTGTGTCAGCCTGGAGAGGCGGTAACACTCTCATCTCCGAGTCAGAAGTTTGCGGGTTCAAGCCCCCGTGTCGGGACGTGGAATAACACAGTTATTAACGTAGTTAAGTTGACGCTCCAGTACACGTGCTGGTCGGAGACAAGGTCCTTTGGATGAGACGCAAAACCGAGCTCCCGTCTGCCTGTCCAGGCGGACGCTAAAGATCCCGCGGCGCTATTGGAAAAGAGGAGGGAGTATCTCTCTCTCTCGGTGCCTGGCTGACAATCCCCCAAATAAAATCGGTCGCTCACTCCACGACTGTTTGTGGGACATTGCTGTGTTTCGCCCACAAAATACACTTTATTCCGCCTCGCAGCATGTCCCACGAAGCACTTTGAGACACATCAACAAGGTGGGGACGCCGCTGTGCGCAATTGGCTGCCGCGTTTCGCCCACAAATATACAAGGTCACTCCACTTTACAGCGTACTCCTGCGAAGCGCTTTGAGACGTCTCAGACGCTAGGTCAAATGCAAAGATTACTATTATTATTATTATGTTGGTTCTGATTATTATGGTCACCTTTCTCACCGCTCACAGTAACTGTACATGGACACAATCAGAGAGAGTGTTGTTTGTTGGGGCGGCCTCTAAGGTTAGTCAGTCTTCCCCAAGGCCTCGGGATGCCTCCGGATCCGACTCTTCCTGCCGTCCACGGTGTTTTTCCACTTGAAGTTCCTCGGCTTCTGCCTGCGTTTCTCCCTGTTCCACGATTGCTCACAGTACTCGTCCATGCTGAGCCTGGGGCCGCTGCTCAGGAGCTGGAGGTACTCTTTGTAACGCGATCTCAGCTCTCTGACCGAGGTGCTCTGCTCTCTCACCCGCCCCTCATCCTCGTCAGCCTTGTGCCAAGGCCCCTCCATCTGCTCCTGGTCGATAACCCGCAGCCTGTAGCGGCCCACGGTGTAAGAGAACGAGTGCTCCTGAGCCCGGCAGTAGTAAACGCCAGAGTCCTGTTTGTGAAGGTTGTGGATCAGAAGGCCTTGGTCCACGGTGATGTAATGATCATCCAATTTCAGCTGTGGGGATAGTGAACATAAACACCACTCAACTGGAGCCTTCAGACATCCACAAGGTGATATTCCACAAAGCCACGCACTTGTCATATTTCCCGATTACATTGACTGCTGTTGCACCCACAAAAATATACAGTCACTCCACCATACAGTGGAGTCCGTGAAGCACCTTGAGTCGTCTCGAAGACGCAGATAAGGCTCCACATCAAATGCGAGGATTATTATTATTTTTATAATAGTATTGTTGACAAAGAGAAAGGAAAGAGTGTTAATGAGAGAGGAGAGGATACAGAACAGAGGTGAGTGAAAATACGCCCTTTATATAACATATACATCTCTCTGCCAACAAGCTTTCTCTGGTGTCCTGTCCAGAGTTGCAAGAGACGCATTGGAAGAGCCTCTCTCGATGGTTTTAATACCTTGGGACGTCCTCCCAACGTGAAAGGCGCTATATAAATGTGATTTGTTGATCAGACTGTGTGACTAATCAGTGAGACTTGATGGTGTGCACATTGCCATTTCCCTCAACGTCAACCACCCACCTCTTCTATATGTTCAGTCTTTGTCCACTGCACAAACCATTTGACGGCTGTTTGCAGTGACTTGGGAACACATTCCAGGAGAGTTGAGTTGGTCTCCACACCAAAGAGCAGCTTCTCTTCCGCATCTTCAAACCCTTTATGTAAAACGAGAGGAAAAGGGAATTCAGCCGTGTTTCACCCAGGAATGGAGAGTGCAATACCATCATATGTGCACATGTTATATAGCATGTGAGACCATTTAATACCATGAAAGTCAGAGTTTGTTATTATATACAAGGTTATTATACCCTAGAAATATATGATGTATTGTATAATACACACAAGAAAGAGTGTGACATTTCAGTATTACATTAATAACAATAATACTTACATTTGATACAGCGCCTTATCACGTCTTCTGGATGACTCAAAGCGCTTTGCAGAAATATTACTGTAAAGTGAATTGACTGGATATTTGTGGGCGAAACGCGGCAGCCAATTGCGCACAGCAGCGTCCCCACAAACAGCCGTGGACCGAGTGACCAAATTATTATTGTTTTTTTGAGGGATTATTATCCCTGGAAAAGTGATCCGCCAATCGGCTAACAACCAGGTTCCTATTTATTGCTGGTGAACAGAGGCGTGTGCGTGGAGTAAGGAAACTTGCCTAACATTTCGCTCTGCCCGGGAATCGAACCCGGGTCCTCTCGCTTGCGAGGCGAGTGCTCTAACCACTGAGCTACAGGACTCCACTTAAAGTACCGTATGGCACAGAATCAGAAAGCAACACACACCATCTCGCAGGTCCCAGCACTGGGTCATTGGGTCACCGTGTTTCACATCTTGTCGACGGGCTCGTCTGAACAGAAACAAAGTACAAGGAGTTGGCAGATATATAAGGGCTTATTTATTTAATTCAGACACAGCGCTGTCTTGGGATTCCCCGGCAATATTAATCTTATATTCCTTGCATTTGATATAGCACCTGATCACGTCATTGAGACGTCTCAAAGCGCTTCACAGGACACACCGTACAGTGAATTGACTGGAGATTTTTGGGGCCGAAACACAGCAGCCAATTGCGCACAGTGGCGTCCCCAAACAGTCGTGGGTTGAGCGGCCAATTTTTTTTTGCTTTTGAAATTCCTTTTAGGCAATGCTGTTAAATACCCATCGACACTCAATACAAATTCACTTTACAGTGTATCCTGTGAAGCGCTTTCAGACGTCTCAAAGACGTGATCAGGCGCTGTATCAAATGCCGGGATTTGTTATTTTTATTTATTATTTGGTGGTTAATTTTCACACGCACTGCACCAGCTGCCGACGCTGACCGAAGAAGCCATTCTCCAAATTGCCGGGATCTTACCGTTTACTTGTTGGGAAGTACCGGGAGCAAGCGTAGCCGTCCCAGGCACAGTATGGATCTCTAGCCAGGCAGCACTCAGCGCACACCTTCCCATACAGCTCACATCGGTGCAGCGAGACCTGGACTACACTGTCCACTGTGCCGACATAGAGGTATTGCTAGAAAAACAAAAACACGGTTTATAATAATAATAATAATAATAATAATTAGAAGTGAACACAGCGTAGATCAGAGGGTTTTGCTCGTGGCTTGTCCGAAGAACAAACCTGTCCCCTGTAGATATAAAAAGGAAATACTTAATAATAATCGTTGCATTTGATACAGTGCCTTCTCACGTCTTCGAGATGTCTCAAAGCGCTTCACAGGATACACTGTAAAGTGCAGTGACTGTAGATTTTGTGGGTCAAACTCAAATATGTTTCTGGTCCCCAATGAAGGATTAACTTGCATTTTGCTCCATTAAAGCGTTCCATTCCTTGACCTATTGCCAAACTAGTCCAAATCTTCCTAATATTATTTCTCATGCTTACATCATCCGGTAAATATTGGGCTCATTAGATCATTAAGTAACAAGACATGCTCTACAATTCATAATTGTGTGATGAGCAGACAACCCAAACCAGTCCCTTTCGAAACTCCACTGGTTATTTCCCTAAATTGGGCCTCTGGTTCCTGAACTGTTTTTAATACAACTTTATAATTCACCATTCATTCTCTAAACTATACCTTTTCTTTAAAACAGTCTCATATGCTTCAGCAAATGTATTACATGCACTGGATTGCCTCTGGAACTCTCTCCCTCCCTCCCTCCGCATCGCCCACTTCCGTCCCCATCTGCAGGTCGCAACTGAAGACCTTCCTCTTCGACTGTGTCCACGGTCACCTCCCCCCTCCCCTCGGCTCAGTGTCGTGCTCGGCCACTGTCGAGCGCTCTGGGACGCCGCCCTGCGTGAGGGGGCGCTGTGTAAGTGTAAGTTGCTGTTCTCATTCACTAAATATTTCCTCGAAGATTTCCTTTCACTTTCCTGATGTGCATCAGGTACTCACTAACCAATGTGCTGTTCGGTTGAGCACTGATTGCAATCTGAATGAGACGTACCTGTTTGGAGGAGAGCTCCATACTCAGGATTGGGGATAGTTGCTGCAGAGACAAAAAGAACAATGGTGTAGACACGTCCTAGATTTCCTTTCATTAACATTCAAGAACTACACAATACTGAAGCTTGTATCATCCAGCTGGGGAAAGCGAGGGCTCAGGTTATTGTCAATCCAGAATTTATGGAGCACATGTGCATTGCTTGCGCTCTTCTATTGAACAGAAGAACCGGAGGACACGGGCTGCGATTGAGAGGGGGAAATTCAGAACAGATCTGTGGAGACACTACTTCAGTGAGCGAGGAGTAAACGTACGGACCTGGCTCCCCTCGGGAGACAGACGGTGGAAGCAGAAAATGTTGTTTGCTTCAAGAACAAACAAGATAGATTTCTGCTAGAAAATAATATCCTGGGGATACGGTGTATAGTTTGGGGACACGACCTGTCAAGCGACTGCCAGGATGGTGGAAGGTGAACCAGATGGACCGTGGTCTTATGTTCTATTTTAATGTAGAGTCATTTTTGTATTCATCATGAGGTTTGTCAAAGCATCTGGTGATTTTTTTTACGTCCACACAAGACCACATTGAAGAGCTTTACTCATAACCAATTTAGAGAGAAGTTATCTGCTCTTACCTGGGTGACACTGAGTTCCTCCAGGACAATCTCTTCGGTTTCCCAATTCTCTTTGGGGATTGTAATAACTTTCATTATTTTCCCTTCATCTGTTGAGAAAGCATGAAAAACAAAATTAAAATCACATCTTTTGAACATCTGCATCTTTCTCTGTGGCTGTTTTCGCTGCAATAGGAGATGAGGCGTATCAGGAATCGTTCAACTTTCATAAATGGAGACATAAGGAATTCGTAAAAATATTTACAATAACCAGCAACAGAGAAACATAGCTGAGAGCAGAAGATAATAATAACCCTGGCATTTGATACGGCGCCTTATCGCGTCTTTGAGACGTCTCAAAGTGCTTCACAGGAGACACCGTAAAGTGAACTTGGTCAGGAGATGGGCTAACCCACCCCCAAAAAAAAAATCACAGGGATATAGACCTGAACCTCTATGAATACTTTTAGACTACGATAAGTTGTTTTATACTGAACAGTAGAACCAGAGGACACGACATGTCCTGCGATCAAATGAGCGGTAAATTCAGAACAAATCTGCGGAAACACTATTTCAGTGAGCGAGGAGTAGACGTACGGAAAAGGTCAGGGACTTGGACCTGAGCAGGGGAGTTGGGATCAGGAGGGAGTGGAGGGCAGGGAGTGGGAGGGGTAGGGGGGGGTTGGCTGAAGGCACAGTGGAAGAGGAGGGTCTTGAAGGAGGCCAGGGAGGGGGCGAGGCGGAGGGACCGCGGGATGGAGTTCCAAAGGGTGGGGGCAGACAGAGTGCTGAAGACCCGACCGCTGATGGTGGGGAGGGCCGGTCGGCGGACGTGGGGGTAAGTGTCCCAGAGGCGCTCAATTCTGCCGCTTACCAGTTCCAAGGAAAAGCACATCATACTGGCCGTCCTCAGCAGCCACTCGATCCACCGCTATGTGCTGGATCTTGTATTGCGTGTTGGTTTTAATGAAGATGGGCCTGTGCTTGACAGGCCGGATGGCCTCCCACATCAGCTGGTGGGTTCGTACAAAGCTGATGACATCGTCGGGGTAGTCCTTTGTCGATTTGTACTGAGGGTCGTAGGTTTCGCTCGGACACTGTGAGACAGAGAGAGAGAGAGCAAAACCGATGGTTGTTACTTTAACAAGTGACCACTTCTCTGATGGATTATAATCCTCGCATCTGACACAGCGCCTCATCACGTCTTCGAGACGTCTCAAAGCGCTCGAAAGAATATACTGTAAAGTGACGGGACTGTATGTTTTGTGGGAGAAACACGGCAGCCAATTGCGCGCCGCAGCGTCCCGCAAACGGCCGTGGGTTAAGTGTCAAAAAAATTTCTTTTTTAAAAAAACGGAAGGGATTATTACCCCCGGAAATGTGATCTGCCAATCAACTAACAACCGGGTTACCGCTAGGTAAACAGAGGCGTGTGCGGGCGTGTGGTTTGCCTAAGGTTTCGCCATGCCCGGGAATCGAGCCCCCGGGTCCTCTCACTCGCGAGGCGAGAGCTCTAACCACTGAGCTGCAGGACTCTGTACATGCAGTACTGCGTATTGCAGTGAACGTTGCTGGTAACAAACGTACTGTTCCTGGCCTGGGGTAAGGGATCCGCCCTTTGTATTCTACCCAACGATAGTCCAAACCTTCCTTGTGGGCGAAGGGACCATTGAAGACTGCACGGATCTTGGCCATGGAGTACACACACACGGCCGAGCCCTTGAAGATAGAACTGGTTAAAACCAAGCAGAGGTATTAGCCAAGAATGCAGACAATCTTTGCGTTTGACACAGTGCCTTTCACGTGGGGAAGGACGTCTCATAGAATTTACTGTCAACTGTAGTAACTGGGTATTTAAGCCAATTTTGCACACAGCAATGCCCCAATAGCCATGAAGCAAACCACCAATTTTTTGTATCTGGAGGACGTTTGGACGAAACCGGAGGAGAAGCTCCCTTCGCTTCTCACATTCCTATCCCCTTCAACAGGCAGATGGGCTTTTTACGAACCGTCCACGTACGCACGGCATCACGTAGAGCCCGTGCAGGCTCCATCCAGCCTGGGGCTGTGGCTGAGTGACACTGTTGGGAACCACCAATCAAGCCAAACATTTCACTGACCTGGAAGTAGTGAACACAGCGTAGATCAGAGGGTTTTGCTCATCCCTTGTCTGAAGAACAAACATGTCCTCTGTAGACATCAAGAGGAAATACTTAATAATAATCCTGGCATTTGATACAGCGCCTTATCACGTCGTCGAGACGTCTCAAAGCGCTTCACAGGATACACTGTAAAGCGAATTGACTGTGTATTTTGTGAGTGAAACGCGGCAGCCAATCGCGCACAGCAGCGTCCCCACAAACAGCCGCGACCAAAAGGAAACTTGCCCAATGTTTTACCCTGACCTGCCCGGGAATCAAACCCAGGTCCTCTCGCTTAGGCGAGTACTCTAACCACTGAGCTACAGCACTCCCAGAATAGGTGCACATATATCTCCTGGTTCATAGACTAAAGAACACACAGAGACACCCGCAAGTCAGAGGCCATTCATTCTCTCCGCCTGCACTAGATTTGAACCCCTGCAGAAAGAGAAGCGCCTTCAACCCCTTGTGCCTCCCAATGCTTTGGGCATTGTTCTGTCTGAATGACACTATTTCACTCCGCATCGTGTTCTGCGGCAAATCAACTGCAAGTCTGTATACAACTCCAGCCTAGAGATGCACTGCAAACAGGTGCAGATTTCCTCCTGATTTATGGATGGTAAAAGATGCGATTCATGACGCACTCTAATTGAGCAGCTATCTACGTTTGGGGAATGTAGTGCCTGCAGCCAGGGCTGTTAAGTGATGGGATTATAAACAACTCTTTGGCATGTTTTATGCTGGAATAGGGGCCAGGAAACTCAGATGTAAACTTCGACGTGGTTGGTTGCGTAGGGATCCAGGATCACCCACAGCAAAAATATGTTAACCCTCCTGCCCCCAGTTACGCTACACTCTCCTCTCCATCCACTATTAAATCTATATTATAATATGGTAATAATACTTATATTTGATATAATAATCATAATCTTTGCATTTGACGCAGCGCCTTATCACATCTTCGAGACGTCTCAAAGCGCTTCACCGAATACACTGTAAAGTGAATTGACTGTGTATTTTGTGGGCGAAACGCGGCAGCCAATTGCGCACAGCAGCGTCCCCACAAACCGCCGTGGGTTGATTTGGAGTGAGTGGCCAAATTAGTTTTATCGATTTATTTAGAAGGGATTTTTACCCCCGGAAAAACGATCCACTGATCGACTAGCTACCGGGTTCCTACTGGTAAACAAAGGCTTGTGTGTGGAGTAAGGAAACTTGCCCAATAATTCCGTTATATCTATCACAAGCAGAAGCCTTTATTTACCAGATGGACACAGATATTGAGAGAGGCCGTTGTCTACTTCTGGGAAATTCTGTGCCCCCCTTTCAAAGCAAAACCGCGTTAGGCAATGGAATAAGTTGTCAGCACCTCTCATAACACACGGAGTAAGAAAGTGCCTTTCACTCAAATCAATCCATTTCTGAACTGCTGGGAGACTTATTTTCATGTTGTCAAGAAAACACGTCAAACTAGGTTGTCCGTGGCCTGAGGTTTATAGGGTATTTTATTTCTAGTCCTAGTGATTTGCAATCCTTATTAAAGTCATTATTTGAATCTAGAATTACGCTGTTTCAAAGTCACTGCTGCCTCTATCTACAACATATTATATTATTATGGGGAACCAACTGAGTTCAAAACTGGATTTGAGGCCTCGACATCCAAATTTAAGACTCAAATTCCATCTGCGCAAATTCTTCAGCTTCTCAGAGCTCTGGGCTCAAGCAACTGAACACAGGTCATCCGTATTTTCAAGAAGAAAACCAGAAACAAATGTGCCTAAACTGGAATAAACGCAGGCTCTCTGGCTCTCTGTCCACAACTGGTTTAGGTCCGGTTGCCCAGAATCTAACCTCAAGCACATTCGTATCATCGTATAATAATCATCATAACAATAATAATCCAGGCACTTGATATAGCGCCTTATCACGTCCTCAAGACGTCTCAAAGCGCTTCACAGGATACACTGTAAAGTGAATTGACTGTGTTGTTTGTGGGCGAAATGTGGCAGTCAATTGCACACACAGCAGCGTCCCCACAAACAGCCGTGGATTGAGTGACAAAACTATTATCTTTTTGAAGGGATTATTACCCTCGGAAAAGTGATCCGCCAATCGACCAACAACGGTAAACAGGGGCGTGCGCGTGGAGTAAGGAAACTTGCCTAAGGTTTGGCCCTGAACCGGCCCGGGCGGGAGTCGAACCCGGGTCCTCTCGCTCGCGAGGCGAGTGCTCTAACCGCCGAGCTACAGGACGCCACGATCAGAGCAAAGTCACGATGGGCGACCTACCAAGTTCGTCGAAAAACGTGTCCAGTGTGTCCCCGAGCCCGGGCACAGAACACACCAGCCTCGCTTTCAGAAATGTGGTCCATCGGTTAATGAGGCTGTGTTTGCCGCCTGTGTCATTCTGGAAAAGAACCCAGAACGTTACAGGGTTTGGTTGCACTCCAACCCAATCGGAATGCTTTGTCTGCCACTTAATTAATTAATTTACTTAATTGATTAATTTGAAATGCTGATCGCCACGTGGGACGTCCTCCCGACGTGACGCACCATCGACAAACGTCATGTCTTCTTCTTGTTGTTGGTGGTGTTTGCACTTTCGGAGTTTTCCCGACACCTCCCCACCCGACCCCACCCCCCCCGCCACTTACTTCCTTCAAGGCCCGTCTCAAGACACTCCTCTTCCACTGTGCCTTCGATCATCTTCCCCCCTCCCCCCCCCCAACTCCCCCCTTGACCTGCACCTCTCTTTATTCCGACCTCTTCATGTGTTTTAACATCAAAACACCTTTTCTTAAAAGACTGCGGACTGGTGAGGAGGACAAAGAATGCCAAGGACCAATAACTTCATTATAATAACGTCCACCACACAGTGGGTAGCAATACCTACGAACCAGATTTGTGCGTTAATTGCAAGCATCAGTTTGCAAACATTGGAAGAGGGCTGATCAGCGAGATTTATAAAAATGGTTAGTTGCTAATCCCCCATAATAGTCTGGCTTTAGGATCAGCAAAAGTTAGAAGCTCTTCCATCGTCTCTGCTCACAGACGTTGGAGTGTCTTATAGACCATTTGGAAACCCTGTGGTCACCAGGAAGGTTCCCCCGTAGGATTACTGGTGTCCGATGTTTACCTTACACACACGAGCCACTCTGGAGTAGATGGCTTTATTAGAGTTCCCAGTTTCCATCGCAATCTCCTTCAGGAAGAAGTACACTTTATCATCGTCAGGATTATACGTGTCAGAGATCGTGTAAGCACCAACAAAGTCAGGATCTTTAAAAAAAAACACACACACACACACACAGGAAAGATTGATGAGGAGACTCTGAGATTATTCTGGCAACACAGGTCAGGCAGCATCTATGGAGAGAGGAAAGTGAGTTAACGTCAGAATGAAAGGTCAGTGACCAGAAGCGTTAACTCACTTTCCTCTCTCCGTTGATGCTTCCTGACCTGCTGAGTGTTCCCAGTGATTCAATCCTTTTTTGCCTATTTTTCAGTCTGTTAACTTAACTGTTCACGGGCGGTTTCCAAATATCAACCAGTGATTTACAAATCTGTTTGTTTCTCTGAGTGCCGAAGAACAGGGTTCCCAGGACTCTCTTAGTCTCTTGTTTGCCCAGTTTAGCGATGCCCAGACTTACGGTTTAGCCAGTGCTGCTGATCCTGTTCCGTCTTGAGGTAGCGTTGCTTGGACCTGTGACCCGCGGTCCTAATCACTGCATGGTTCATTCCCATGAAGTCCAATGAGGTACCAGCGTAGAGCTCCCCGTCTGTAGGAAAAAAAACACAGGGTTGGGAGAGGCAAAGCAGGTTCTGTTGCACCATTATAATAACAATAATAATCCTGGCATTTGATACAGCGCCTTATCTCGTCTTCGAGACTATTGTCTCAAAGCGCTTCACAGGATACACTGTAAATTGACTTAACTGGACATTTCGTGGGCGAAACACGGCAGCCGATTGCGCACAGCAGCGTCCCACAAACCTTCATGGATTAAATGACCCAATTATTATCTTTTTGAAGGGATTATTACCCCCGGAAAAGCGATCTTCCAGGCGTCTCAAAGGATTTCCCCAAATGTGAAATCAGCTACAAGACAGCGAACAGCAACCCTCTTGGATGATCAGTTAGGTTGTTTGACGAGGTGTGTGTGTGTGTGTGTGTGTGTGTGCAGGACCTCCGTAGAGCAGGATTTGGGTAATATCTCACCTGTCAGCACAGCTGCAAAGTGTTCGTGTGGGCTGTATGGACATTTCCCCAAACCAGATTCCACCGAATGTGGCTTCAGATGGAAGCGTGGCTCCTGGAAAAGAAACATTTCATACTAACAACAACAACAAGATTACATTTGTATAACGCCTTTCACGTCGGGAGAGCGCCCCAAGGCGCTGAATGTGTGGTTTGAGGTCCATCTGGTTCGACCCAATTCTTACCATTATTATTATTATTATTATTATTATTTTATCAATGGAATTATTACCTCCGGAAAGCGATCCGTCAATTGGCTAAAAAAAAACGCTGCTCGTAAACAGAGGGGTGTGCGTGGAGTAAGGAAGTTTACCCGCGGTTTCGCCCTGCCCGGGAATCGAACCCGGGTCCTCTCGCTTGCGAGGCGAGCGCTCTAACCACTGAGCTACAGGACTCCAATTGTCTTAGAATGGCCTCTTCCCAAAGCAGCTCAGAATCCCTACCTCTGATTCAGTGGCAACTTGAACGTAAGCACAGAGCGGGTGGAAGGCTGCGGTGCCGCAGGCAAAGACGTGGGTCCTGTTGAAAGGTTCCAGGAGGCGGATGAAGTTGGCACACTCTGTCTGGATGAAGGTGCAGGAAGATTAAAGTCACATTTTACTGTGAATGTCAAGTCCAGAAATGAAGTAGCAGAAGCTTAATAATATACTATTGATACCAAGCACTAAATCTTAGTTAACACTTCGGTTACTGATATTCCTTAGAGAGTAGTTTAGCTCATCTCTTCCTTGAACACTCAATGTTCTACATACAGCAGTTTATACAGACGGTAATCTCCCGTTTCCTTACTTCAATCCTCTTCCCTGTTGACACGCAATGTTCCACATGTTCTTTCGGGGCTGGCCAGTGAATCTGAAGAAGGAAGCAAATCGTATTTGTCGTCAGCCGAGAGCTTTTGCGGATTTCGTTTCATTCCATTTTTCCGATCTCTTTCGGTTCCCTGGCGCTCTACACGCCCTCCGTGCAAGTCAAACCCCGGTCGTGGTCAGCAGTCTGGGGGAAGGGGGTGGGGGGAGGGGGGGGGGGGGAGTCGAACTTCTTTTTATGACAGTAATTAAACGGTATTAATTAGCTGTTGAAAATGACAGGATATGAGAAAAGGGATTAGGAGGAGACGTGATCCGAGTCCTGAATAAAATCTAGCCCACAGGGTGCTGACCTGCTGAACTCCCCTCCCCTGTCCCACCAGCTGAAGTGTGGGAATAGTAATGAGCTCAAAGAATTCAGAGCCAGTGGCCTGTCTACCCCAGGAGATAAACTCTAGTTCCACTAATCTCTCAATCCTCCACCTCCCAGACCAGCAGGACCGCGAATCCTGGCTCCAGGCACCCACCCCACCCTCAGCCAATCTACATTTACCAAATCTATGTTTCACCCACAAAATACGCGGTCAATTCACTTTACAGCGTATCCTGTGAAGCGCTTTGAGACGTCTCGAAGACGTGATAAGGCGCTGTATCAAATGTGAGGATTTTTAGTATTATTATTATTTAGTTGTTGCAAAACTGCATCAAAAGGCTCTCAACAAGCTCTTAATGTTAAGAAATATCATGCTCAATATTCACGCGCTCACTGCGTGTTAAATGTAAGGAATTAAATGTTTATAGCTAGGAGGAGCTTGGCCAAATCTAATAATAATAATCCTTGCGTTTGATATAGCGCCTTATCACGTCTTCGAGACGTCTCAAAGTGAATTGACTGAGTGTTTTGTGGGAGAAACGCGGCAGCCAATTGCGCACAGCAGCGTCCCACAAACAGTCGTGGATTGAGTGACCTGATTTATTTTTTTTTTAAGGGATTATTACCCCCGGAAAAACGACCCACTAATCGACTAACAACCAGGCTAAGACTAGGTGGAGTTTTGGGGTCCTCAGATTAGCACTGGTACAACTAGTGACTGGTAGAACGAACCTGCTGAGGGCTTTGGCCTGTGTGGTCCAGAGGCAGGAAGAAGATGTGATCCCTGGCACCAACGAGAAGCCTTCCTCGATCTTCGTCCAACAAGAAGACCTGGTACTGGAGCTGTTTGCAGCTGGTAGCAGGAGCACTGAGCTGTTGGATCTCAGCAGATCTGAAAGTACGGGAAGCAGGGAGGGGAAAAGTGTGTGGACTCGGAAGACAATCCATACAATTTGTGTGAAGATCGGCTATCTCCAGCCACTGCCAAACATACACAGGGAATTACAGGCAAGGATTATTGTTAGTAGTAGCACCTTTCCAATAATCCTTAATCATAATAATAAAAATAATAATAACAATCCTCCATGGGAGACAGCGCCTGATCACGTCTTCGAGACGTCTCAAAGCGCTTCACAGGATACACTGTAAACTGAATTGACTGTATATTTTGTGGGCGAAACACTGCAGCCAATTGCGCACAGCAGTGTCCCCACAAACAGTTGTGGGTTGAGTGACCAAATTATTATTATTATTCCCCCCGGAAAAGCGATCCGCCAATCGACTAACAACCGGGTTCCTACTCACTGCTGGTAAACAGAGGCGTGTGTGTGTGCGGAGTGAGGAAACTCGCCTAAGGTTTCTCCCTGACCTGTCCAGGAATCGGACCCGGGTCCTCTCGCTTGCGAGGGGAGCGCTCTAACCACTGAGCTACAAGACTCCAAATATTGTCACGTTGTCAACATGAGCGATTTAGGAAGAACCCGTCATCAAACACCATCTGGGCCACCGGTAGCTAAAGCTCTCCTTGAGGCACTCCCTTAAAGTCAATTATAGGTCTTAATCCTTGAAAAAAAATCGTTGTAAGAATTGTGCCATTGTCCCTACTTGGCACAATGGACTGACCAGCCCCAGGACCTTGACTTGCTGGAGCTGGTTTTTAAAGCATTAAAGACTAATTACTTGTTGACAGGTTGAAAAGGCCAAGTCACCCCATGTATTGACTTGTGGAGGTTGATGGCATTCCTCTGTACTCCACTCCCCTCGGGCAGATCACTTGAACAAGAGAGAGAGAGAGAGAGAAAGAGAGAGAAAGAAAGAGTTCCAGAAAATCATTTACAATTGCAGCAGTTATTCCCTGTGGTGCTGCCCAGGTGACCAATGGAAAATGACCTTTCTCTCTTCCTGTTGGTGTTTTGGCGGAGTTTGCTTGTACTGCATAATAATAATAATAATAATAATAATAATAATAATCCTTGTATTTGATACAGCGCCTTATCACGTCACCGAGACGTCTCAAAGCGCTTTACAGAATAGGCTGCAAAGTGAATCGACCGTATATTTTGTGGGTGAAACACAACAATGATATAATGTGGTGGGAGTCAGGAGTGTGATATTGGTGATGGAATGAAGAAATCGTTGCTGGAAATCCATGTGGATTTGGCTTGCACTGTTCACAGAAGCCAGATTTCTATTTATTGGGACCGGGCACTGGTTAGGATCATATATTCCAATCTTGTGCTGGTGACGATGCTTGAGGACAGTTTAATAAGCCTCCAAAAGCAATAACCGCTTGTTTCTACTGTGACAAATTATTCTGATGGATTTGGGATGCCCGACACCATTCGAAGTTTCCTTTCCTTGCTGTGATTACGTAATTGAGAGATAACAAAAGGCCGTCTGTGTGTCTGCTTTCAGCTGAATGGAATGTATTCACCGAACTCAAACCGCAGCCACAGAACGGAAGGATTACAGGTTTGATGGACTTGCAGACTGGCCTTTGCTCTCAGAGAGGGCTTGAGGTCTTCAAGCACTCCGAGAGCTCCAGCGTGTAGAGCGCTCTATAAATGCAAGTTGTTGTTGTTGAAATCCCAAACAGATTTTGCTTTTCGCCACCCAGACCTTTGCTCACGGTTGCACCGCACGGACATTTATTAATAATAGTAACAATAATTATAATCATCCTTGCACTTGATATAGAACCTTATCATGTCTTTGAAACGTCTCAGAGCGCTTCACAGGCCATAAAGCGAATTGACTGTATGTTTCGTGGGACAAACGAGGCAGCTAATTGAGCACAGCGGCGCGTCCCACAAACAGTCGAGACTTCTTGGTTGCATTTTCCTCTACTCGGTCGAGCATACACGTCGAGACATCCTCCCAGCGTGAAAGGCGCCGTACAAAAGCCATTTTGTTGCAGTATTTGGAGCTAGTTTCCTCTCTCCTCATCGCTGCACTCAAAGTTACTATTGAGATGCAAGGTTTGAGCTCATGGGATATGATCCAGATATTGTAATTAGAGAGTTGCTGAGCAACTAGAGTTTATTATACCCAAGAGATTGGCATTAGATCTATTACTGTCCTACTTTCGATAAATACCTTGGCTATGAAGTGATCCCATGGGTTGGTGCATAAATAATCTCCTCCCCACTCTACGCTAGGTTCCAAACCTCAGGTATGTCATTTGGACGACTTCACTAGGGATGGAGGAGGTGTGGGGCAGAGTTTAGCCACACAGATGGAAGGATAAATACAATCATTCCCAAGCTGTTCTGTTGAATGTTCCTTCAGAGGCTTGAGAGCAACATGTCAGAAGGACCATCCCTTAGGCCATGTTTTGACACAAGGTCTGAGGAGGAAAAATAGAGGAAAATTGTGTGTTTGCCTTACGGTGGCAGTCCATGTCGTATTGTTTTTGGGAGGTAGAGCTTCCCGGAAAACCTCTGCAACAGAGAACACAAGCCCTTTAATTCCTTTCCAAAACATACAACTGTATAGTTTGGGTAACAATTAGAATAGAATAGATGGTTGGAGCTTTACTCTGTGTATGTGCAGCCTGCCCTGAGCCTGCTGATCCAGGCACCGTAGTATTATACCAAATTAAAGTTTGAGTGTGCACTAATTATTGATTATCACATATAATCTGACATAAAAGAGTCACCCTATCATTAAGGTTATAAAAGCAGTGTATTCTGGTTCGGTTAATGTGCTAACTCTTGGTTTAATTTTTACTCACGGCTCGTAAGTTTAGAAAGAAATATTAAATATAAAACACCCAGGGCGTTCTCTATAGTTATTGATTTTGATCAGCTGATTTGACAGATTCATCTACAACATACAATCACTAACTACACTTTACAGTAAATCCTGTGAAGCGCTTTGAGTCGTCTTCCCAACATGAAGGGGATTATTCCCTGTAATAATCCTTGCAAAATCAAATGCAAGGATTATTGTTGTTACTTAATAAAAAAAATTATATAATGTGGTCACTCGCTCCACGACTGTTTGTGGGGACGCTGCTGTGCGCAATTGGCTGCCGAGTTTCGCCCACAAAATATACAGTCAATTCACTTTATAGTATATGCTGTGAAGCATTTTGAGACGTCTATAAGATGTGAGAAGGCGCTGTATCAAATGCAAGTTTTATTGTCATGATTATTAATTAAATTAATTAAATAATAAGAATAGTTTAAACTGTAAGTGAATGTGAGCAGTAAAACAGAGTGTGATTTGCAATTTGGGCTGAGGTAGACTCACTGAACAAGAATTTACAGCTGAAACTATTTAGTGAATAAGGGAGTGACGCTTTGAGTAGATAACGGCATTTGGTGAAAAGGTTAATTTGCTGTTCATCAGCCAAAAGATATTTACTTCACTCCCAGCGATCTGTTCCCTGAAAGGTCTGTAGGTTTACGGCCTTTATCTACTCTTCAGTTTGCAGACAATATTGGGGAGTCTTGAGGGAACAGGAGACTGATATCAAACTGGCCTGTTCTCAGGGTGGTAATGGGGTGATTTCACATTGCAGGGAATCTGGGATAGCCTGACCCTGAGTACAATTTCTACACTCACTGTTAGCTCAGGGAATGCAGTTTGTGCGTCTTGTTAAAATTCCTGAATCTCTTAGCCATTTAAAGACCGTGTAAAACGATGAGCGACCAGAGGTGTGCAACATGGAAACATAGTCAAAAACCCGGACTAGTTACGAGACGGCCAGGGTGACTAGTTATCAGAGGATCGTGAATAAATTTCTTATGGGAGAAATAGCCGGGATATCGAGTAAGCGACCAGCTGTGTGGGGTCGACTACTTATCCCAGGGGCGAGTTATGAAAGTTTCACTATAATGGGCCAGAAACTCAACCCCTTGGATTAGATGGTGGCATCGTTCCCTAACCCGAGTAACCCCCACTTGCTTTGCAATCACTTTCTCTCGCTCATTGACCGAGGCCACAGAGTGTATGGTACGAGCCACACAGAAACAGGGCCACTGGTGTCAAATACCTTTCTGAAGCTATCGTGCTCGCCTTTAGCTTTGAGGTCATTGTGTGCATTAGTAAAGATAAAAGTTTGGGCACTTCACAGGGTTCATAGATCAATAGTCTCCAAATGGACTAGGAGGGGGCGAAGGGGTGGGGGAGTGAGGGGTGTGGGGGGGGTGAGAGGAAGAGAATCTGTTTACACAGACTGTGATCTGGTACTTAGAAAGGTCATGTTCTCAGATAGATGTGTACATACTTAATATAGCTAGAATTTGGGTTAAGCAATTTTATTTTAAGAAAAAGTGTGATTAAGCCAGATATAAATGGTGTAATGGCCGATGTTTAACAATGTACAGCCTTGTCAAAGGGCCAGCGTTAGAGTTGGGTATGTTACGTACCTGGACTTTACCAAATAAATCAGCTACTGTCAGACACCGGCACTTAAAGCCTCGCAGTAACAAGATACAGCCTGTGCTTTTCCTCTTCAGCCTCAAGTACCCCACGAATAGCTGTCGAGAATATTTGGCGGTAGATTTTTCACCCCCCACCCCATCCCCACTTGCAAACATACACACAACACACATACACGCACACACACAACACACATACATGCACACACACACACAACACACGTCCCCTTTACAAATTAAATGTATTAAATTTACTGTAGACCCAGTAAATAATAAATGGTTTTGGCGTTGTATATATTATATAGGGCTTGACAGTGACGGAGCACAACGCCGAGCCGGGGGAGGGGGGGAGGTGACCGTAGGAAAGTCTTCGCATGACCTGAAGATGGGGAAGGAAGGGGTGAGGTGGAGGATGTCACGTAAGTCTCTAATAAACACCATCAAACTTACACCCGAACACTATTACTGTACAGGCTCTTTGCTTGGATTCCAATGGCTTCCCAGACCTTTGAATATTGTAGATGGGAGTCACAGACACCTGCTATCAACACTGGGTTGTTTCAGGAAATGGGTCTATCTACATTGTCCTCCTCTCCCACCCCCCAAATCTGCCAACAAATACCTTTCAAAGGGCCTGTCCTACTCAAACGGTTGATGAGACTCATTCAGAGTAAAGTGTTAGCGATCTTGCAAAGTCAACTTGTGCTCGCTTGGCTTCCTCTGTGTCTGGCTTCCTATCTTCGCCTCATTATTGAGTCACTGACAGATGGGACAGTGCAGAGCCTCAGATAGATCTCTCCGGTTGCTTGGATTGTCTGGGTGTCGGTCAGCAAAGCCAGGATCCAAAGCAAAAAAACTCACCTACTTGACCCTGGGTGTCGCTCAGCCACTCCAGGTGAGATGACATGTCAAGGCTCATTTCCCTAAGCATCACATTCTGATCTCAGTCAAGCATGTTCACTGACAAGCTTTTACGTCTGACGGGTGTGAAATTCAGACTAACCGTCACCCGTTTGTTGTGGCTAAACTCGTAAAGAAGTGAACTTGATTTTACCGTGAGCCGCCTGGGCATTAAAGCTTTGTTGCAATAATGATACTTGCATTTGACGCAGCACCTTATCACGTCTTCGAGAATTTGAGCGCGAAGTGAAGTGGATCTACACGTTCTGTGGGCGAAACGCGGCAGTGAATTGCGCACAGCAGCGTCCCCGCAAACAGCCGTGGATCGAGTGACGAAAATATTATTTTTTTAAAATTTATTTTTGAAGGGATTATTGCCCCCAAGAACAGAGATCCGCCAATCGACTAACAACCGGGTTCCTACTCTCTGCTGGTAAACCGAGGCGTGTGCGTGCGCGTGTGTGTGTGGAGTAAGGAAACTTGCCCAACGTTTCACCCTGTTCTGCCCGGGAATCAAACCCAGCAACCTACGTCCACTGCTCTTACTGTCTTACTGTCTTGATACGTTCCTAAAGTATTGATCAGAGTTGACTCTTGCAATCCGACTTAAAATCTTGTACTCAAAGAGATCACCTTTACGTGGGTCTGGCAGCTTCCCTGTAAACTGGCCGGGACGACGACTTTGTGGAGAGGAAATGAGTGAGGGAGAAGTGGGGGAAGGGGGAACGTAGAAGGACAATGGCAAAGCTGCGGGAGTCGTGAAGCTTTGAACACAGAAACCCCCACCCAACCACTGCCCCCCCCCCCCCCCCCCTTCTGTGTTGTGTGCTCTTAGATCCCTTTCCTGGAAATAAACAAAAAAAAGAAGAACTTGGAGGTTTGAAAGCAAGCCAGAAGCAGCTGGTGAGAAAACAGACCGACTCGGAGGAAGTTAAACTCCAAACAACTGTTAACAATAAGAGGCTTCCTGTTCTAGAAGCGCTCGCTGGCTCTGCCACTCCGCCTGTCAGCCACGTTCTGGCCCAAACCAAAGCCTAGCAAAGCAACAACAACTTGCATTTACACAGTGCCCCTCACATAGGGTAGCGTCCCAGAGAGTTTGCCAGTGGCGGAGCACGAGGCTGAGCCAAAGGGAGGTGGCAGGGGGCTGGGGCGGGGTGGGGGGGGGAAAGGTGACCGTAGGCACGGTCAAGAGGATGGTCTTCAGGCGGGACCTGAAGATGGGGGAAGGAAGGGGGTGAGGCGGAGGGATTGAGGAAGAGCGTTCCAGGATTTCGGGGCGCAGTGGCTCGTATTAATTTTTATAAAGTAGTGGATTGTGTTTCCTCTGCATTTTCTGCTCTCAATTCCCATGAACTGCACGTGATTATGTCAGAAGAAGATTATTTTCCTGTAATTTGGCTCCCTGGCTGGCAGTCAGCCAGTGCTGCTGTCCCACAGCATATACCAACGGAGTCACTTGCACAGCCACATTGTCCTGACATGAATCTTTCCATTTCAATCAAAGGAAACAGATAAGGAAGGACTCCATGGATGTTAGACAGTGACAGATGCCAGTGGAGTGGATTACAGACCTATGTGGGTGGGTTTGCGGGTAGGGTGGGGAGGAGTGGTGGGTGGGGAGGAGTGGTGGGGGGGGTGGGGTGGGAGTGTCCTGGATTGTGTTGTGTTTATCCCAAACCATCTTAGAAGCAGAAGCCAGTCCCAGGTAACTTGATAATCTACACACAGGAAAATCAACTTGCCAGATGTTACTTAGACATCTTTTGAGATGATAATTGCCCTTTGCGATGTTGCATTCTCAAAAGCCACAGGTCCACTTATTCTCTTAAAATGGACTGACAAATCCTTGTATTTGATATAGCGCCTTATCAGGCAGCATCTATGGAGAGAGGGAAATGAGTTAACGTTAACGTTACATCACTTTCCTTCTCTCCATAGATGCTGCCTGACCTGCTGCGGGTTCCCAGCCACTTCTGGTTTTATGTCAGACTTCCAGTATCTGCAGCATTTTGCCTATTGTTAAGCGCCCCATGACGTCTTCGAGACGTCTCAAAGCGCTTCACAGAGTGTAAAGTGTAGTGACTGTGTATTTTGTGCAAATGCCCACAGCAACCCATTTTGATATTAACCCATCTTCCTTCGGTTCCCAAAGGGTTACTAAGATTTCTGGGCCAGTTCAGAAAGGAGCACTGAAGTAAACCCGACTTTACAGAGAGCTGAAATCTTTCCAGTAGGTCGTTATCAGAGAGTAACAGAGTCAAATGAGCTGGAAAAGCTCTTAACTGCACATGTAGGAGCCAGAAGAAAGGGACCTGTTCAGTTCAGGTCACTCAGAATAGAGAGTGTCTATTATCTAATGGCACAGGCTTCCGATGACCCGAGTCCCATTTCAAACCCTTCTTTGCACTTCTAGGCCTGTGGCTCAGGGGTTAGAGCCCTCGCCTCGCAAGCAAGAGGACCTGGGTTTGATTCCCGCTCAGGACGAAACATTGGGCAAGTTTCCTTACTCCACACACACGCTTCCGTTTACTGAGCAGTAAGTAGGAACCTGGTTGTTAGACATTTGCCAGATTGCTTTTCCGGGGGGGGGGGGAAAATCCCTTCAATTTGCGGGACGCTGCTGTGCGCAATCGGCTGCCGCGTTTCGCCCACAAAATGTACAGTCAATTCACTTTACAGCGTATCCCGTGAAGCGCTTTGAGACGTCTCGAAGACGTGATGAGGCGCCGTATCAAACGCCAGGATTATTATTATTATTATTATTATATGTTTTTTGTTGATCTGATGCGGAACCCATTCCAGCAATGTCTCTCCAATTTGTATGGCTTTTTTTAATCCTAAAGAAAAATACATAAATAATGAAAAACAGCTTCAGTCAGTCACACTATTAGCTTGTGAGGAATGTTGGCTAAGGCAAGTAACTCATCAGTTAGACATGCAGTGAGTTTAGCTGTCTTGGTACTGTGTATGGTTTAACCCTCTATTAGGTGGCATGGATTTTTCTAGCCATGGGTGATTGAAAGGGATTTGTGCAGCGCCGTTCATGTCGGGAGGACATCCCAAGGCGCTGGACAGTCAGGGATTTTGCCCCCGAGCAGGTGGTTGGGATCAGGAAGGGAGGAGGGCAGGGAGGATGGGGGGGTGGGAGGGTGGCTGAAGGCACGGTCGAAGAGGAGGGTCTTGAGACGGGCCTTGAAGGAGGCGAGGGAGTGAGGTGAAGGGACTGGAGGATGGAGTTCCAAATGGTGGGGGCAGAGAGGCTGAAGGCAATTTATGTTTATATAACAACTTTTCAAATGCAGCGATTATTATCCTCAATATTAGACAAGTGCCCAAGATTATTATATCAACTCAAGTTCCTCTAAACACCAGTGATATAATCCTCTTCACACACGTGTATAACCTCGTTAAGTTAGGAACGTAAAATTAACCAGAGTTTAAAGAGTGCGTTAGTCCCACAGACACGGGCAGATAGAGGATGAGACTCATTTGGAAGCAACATCCGATTTAGTTAAGAATTTTAATTGTACTCTGGAAACAGCACCGAGCCTATAATCAGAGGAACAACATAACTGGACTGGACAGAAAGTTTCCCTTTGATCTTCAGCATTACGCAGACTATTTTTGTTCGTTACAACAGCCTCCCTCACAAGTCACTCAATGTCTGGCCCTGTGTTTACAGAATTAAGTAATTCAGACAAACTGTACTATTCGGCAGCTTAAAAATAGAGAGATTACGTGTAGTCTGACTAAATTTAGTGGTTGCCAAAATAAAATCAATCAGAATGTGCACTGAACACACATGGGCATTCAGCAGTGGCTAAGTGACGTTTCGCCCACAAAATACACAGTCGATTTACTTTACAGTGTAACCTGTGAAGCGCTTCGAGACGTCGCGAAGACGTGTATCAAATGCAAGGATTATTACAACGACACCTTGCATTTATATAGCGCCCGAGGGAGGTGGGAGGGGAGGTGAAAAAAATCAACCGATCAAAAAGGAAGGTGGGATTTGAAAGTGGTGAGGGAGGAGGCGAGGCGGAGAGATTGAGAGAGAGAGAGAGAGAGAGAGAGAGTTCCAGAGTTATTAATTATTACTATTATTATAAACTCAGAGACTTGAATTCAGATATCGGTCTGATTCGTAACAGAAAAAAAAAATCTAACGTATCTGACTCCCCGCAGACAAGAGAAGTGAACGCTTTCACCCAAACGTCAAAACTGTTTTGCACAATCCTTCGCACCAGCACAGCTTTCTCCAGACAGATCGCTAACACTCGAGAGGGGGAGAGGGGGGCGAGAGAGGAAGAGAGACAGAGGGAATGTGTGGGGGAACAGCGAGCATCAGTTTCAGTGCATCGAGTGCTGCCAACATACTTCTGGGGTTTTATGTGAAGAGGGAGTTTGATCGATTGCGATGTGAAATTAGCAGGGTATGTGCTGAGACCTGGAGTAGGCATCAGACACACACGTACAACCGTTAGGTGTATCGTCTATCACCCTGAAGGGTGCGGGCTTTAATGACTTATACAGCAACAAGGCTTAAATTCATCTCCCCTTTCATAACTGGTCAATTCCCCCTAGAAATATTTTGACAGAATAATCTGCCAGGACTATTCAGTTACATTCGCTAAAGGAGAAAGGCACTAGCCCTCTCTCTAGACGGCTCATGTCATTTGCCGTTTGAATACACATTGTGAAGAGGTACATAGATATAGATTAATAATAATAATAATATTTAATATTAGATATAGATTAAAAAGTCATAATATTGATAATTTGGTTACTCAACCCACGGCGGTTTGTGGGGACGCTGCTGTGCGCAATTGGCTGCCCTCGTCCGCCCACAAAACATACAGTCAATTCACTTTATGGTAAGTTCCGTGAAGCGCTTTGAGATGTCTCGAAGACGTGATAAGGCGCTGTATCAAATGCAAGGATTATTATTATCATTATTATTGTTATTATAGACTGGTTAAAATCAAATCGGGTGACGCTACCATGATATAATGCCAT